ATTTGATTACAGTAACAAGATGATGATGCATTTCTATGCACATTTTTAAAAGCCTAACTTGTAAAAAAATTTAGACTAGGTAAACTAGTAACCGAAGCAGTTACACGCTTAAAAACTGTATTATATTTATAAATTTGTTGAAGCGATCCTTTTGATGTTATAGGGATTAAACTCAACCTCCTTTATTTATTAAGTAATACTGAACTTAACCCAAGCCAAAAGTTGTTTCTAGATTTCTTTATAATATTTATTTATATTTTCGAACTAATCATATAGGATCATATAATATCTGACGAATTTTTTTCTCCTGCATCCATGTTCAACGTTTCTCCTGATAGACATTTTACTATTTCTAGAATATAATTTTTATAAAATGTAAAAGCAAATAAAAAATAATTATCAAAATGATCAAAAGTATTTGAATATTTAGGTGGCTTGTACGTGGGAATATTAGTTTTGTACCGATTGACTTTCATGCTAACACAACGTGTCTAAACAAAATAAAAATGTTTAAGGAAACTAGGCTTAGATGATTTTCCTTTCTATCAAATTGAAATGTGACACTAAAGCATAAAACTCTATCTATGAAGAGTATAGAAAAGCGTATACGCAAAGTCCTTACACAGTTGCTGAAAGTGAAAGTGCCGTTAGCGTTGGCGGCAACCACGCTATCACTTGACGCATAAACATAAACATATGTATGTTTGAGTGTACGTAGTAAGTGAATTGGTCTGGACGGACGATCAGTCTGGTGCCTTATTCTGTCACGCCATTTAATTACGTACTATGAAAAATTAAGCATGCATAATTTATATGCCTGCCAATTTTATCGCATCAAAAAACGAAAGTACTGCACATTCATCGTACACTTCGTTGTCGGAATCGGCTCGGGCGATGTCTATGCCGCTGTCGCTGTCGTCCTCCTTGCAAAGTTTGACTGATAAAGCCATTAGCCAGGCCAGACAAACATGACATCAAATCAAACTCAAAAGTGAGCTCAATAAAAACCACAACTCGCACACGAAATCCCACTTTAATTTGCTCCCATTTAACACTTTTACCCAGACAACATATCGATAAGAAAAAAGTCGAGAAACTTTGTTGTGATATTAAGCATCGGGAAAATGCTGTGTACAGCCTTTAAAAGGATCAACGCGCCGTACTACTATTGGCATTGACGTTGGCGTATTGGCTCCCACAGCGTTCGAATAGTAAATAAAAAAGAAAATATCATTGACTACGTTTCGCTTTTGAATGAAATGGCCACCAATAGATAGGCCAGCTCCCTCGCAGATACACAGGCGGGATGGACATGCAGACAGAGAGAGAGAGATAGGAGAGAGAGGAGAGAGAGACAGAAATATAGACAGCAGGACAGTTGAACAGACGGAGAGGCATTTAGAAAGTACGCGCCGCTCACACGCCGCCGTTTAAAAGTTGAAAATAAATTGAAAAACTGTAAAGCAAATTACTGGCAAAAGGCATTGTGACAAGACATGGCGTGGGCGTCCTACAAAACTGTAAGGCTTATGGCTCTATGGTGTCGGCATTGCATGGAATTGCCTTAAATGATGTGCCACGCTCTTGGCACTTGCGAAAATTTATGATTTAAATATTTTACCATAGATCGATTTGTGTTTAAACATTTTCTTATTAGCCTACGGTTACGTATAAAATCCATATGTACATATGTGAATGGTATAAAATATTTTCATATAGGAAACTTAAACATTAACTACCTGTGCTTAGTAAAATAAAATGAGTAACACTTAAAGTATTATTAACGTGACATGTTGTAATATTAAAACGATTATTCGAGTCAAACTGCAGCAGTGGATTCGCTCTTTTAATTTTTGCTTCTGCTATGCGTATATATTACAACACCTCTGACAAAGTATAAGTTTCTTTGGGTACAGGGTATATCACCATCGGGCTAGCTAGATATAGTCTATTCTCTTGTTCAACCCTGTACTCAAAGGGAAAACTAGCGAATATATGTAGCACACAGGAGAAGGCGTAGCAGGCCCCACAAAGAATATATTATACTATTGTATAATATACTTGCATATACTATATATACTATAGCCACGTCTGTCCGCCTCTATAAACGAATGGATCTCAGGTACATCAAAATCAGGGTTCTTAAAACGCGAGCATATCACATTCATACTTGTTAGAAATTCAGCCGTGAGTCCTTTTCAGCAGTCAGACAGAGCCCGTGAGCAGTTATGAGCAGACGGCAGAAGCTGAGCGCTCGTTCGTGGCAGGAAGGCATAAGTACATACAAATGTGTATGTTTGTGTATATATTTATTTTAAGGCGAAATGTGCGCGATCCTTTTCATCCCTTTCATCGTCCACATCACACATACATACATATGTAACGAGCGCTCGGCCTCTGCCGCCTATACATTAACCTATGTATTGTATATGTACATATGTCTATAGGTACGTCTTCTATATATTTATCTTTCATTAGTTTTTATAGCCTGTACCCAAAGGGTGAAAGGCTATACTAGTTTTGTGCGCATGTATGTAACACACAGAAGGAGGCGTGGCAGACCCCACAAAGTATATATATTCTTGATCAGGATGAGAAGACGAGTCGATATAGCCATGTCCGTCTGTCCGTCTGACCGTCTGTCTGTATGAGCGCAAGGATCTCAGTAAGTACAAGAGCTAGGATAACCAAAATTGGTATCAAGGTTCCTATAAGCCCTAGGCAGAACGAGTTTGTTTATTTTTTCTGATACACCCCCCCCACTCCCCCGCAATTCGTATTTTTTCTTATAACTTCCGTAATTCTCGGAATCTAAAAATCAATTTTGGTAGGTACATCCATGCCAAATTTCATCATGATAGGTCAATTCTGAAGAAAGTTATAGCCATAAGTAAAATCGCTGCTCATGCGCTGCCTGCAGCTCTGTCGGCAGCGCTGCCCGCAGCTGTTGTTGTTGTTGCTGCTTTTGTTCAACTTTGTGCTGCATACATACACGCATATGAACACGCATAGGTACGTGATGTAAATGTATGCTGTTTAAACTGAACATAAACATGTATTCTAATTTAATTAAATTAATTATTTTAATTAATTAATTCATTAATTTTTTTTAATAATTTAATTTTTTTTTAAATTTTTTTTTTTTTTAATTTTTCTTTTTTGTGGAGAGTACAGGCTATTTTACTGTCGGGCTTGCTCGACTGTAGCGTTCTATCTTGTTTTATTTTTGAGAGTGGGTACAGGTAAATACAGGTAAAAAGATGGGCCAGTCCGACTTTAATAATCCAATCTTTTTCTCTTTTTTTGTGATAGTTGATATAGGGTATTTAATAGTTGGGCCCGCTTGACATAAGTATTCATTTCTCGTTTCATACTGAGATTGGTCATTGCCAATGTTATATTTGGGACATACAACAATTTGCGGTGCTAAGCTTACTGAATTCTATTGGATTGGATTACAAAATATACTTGTATATAATATAAATCATGAAATCAACCATGATACCATGACAAGAGTACCCAATAACATTTTACATATAAGACAAACTTTGCCCTGATTATCTCTTCTTCGTTAGAAGTGATCCGTAATAAACATTTGCTATCTGAGGATGGTGCATGATCATTAGGTATGGCCAATACCAATATTTGATTTCGTTCCAATATCCTTAAAAACAACGTGTTGGAAACTCTTTCTAAAAGATATCGTTACTACCAACTATTTGACACATATAGCTATAACACTACGGTACGTAAGGACGTAGTAGTTGAATCAGACAGATGGACAGACAAACGGATGCGCGATTTGGAGTTATCTCGTCATGGTTATCTTATACATACTTACTATTCTTCCGCCTTGGAGTTACAAACTAACCAAAATAACATACAAGTATTCTCATTCTTCAATGAAGATCTGTGAATCGGTACAAAAAAGTTGAAAATGAAAATACCCTATTTAAAATGTAATACAAAAGAAAAATGTCTAATAGAACATACGGCTACTTTAAGTTTTTAATTCCATCGCAGTACATATGTTTTGAAAGCTGATAAGCCTTAAATATAGTATGCGCTGAAGGCCAGAGGCAGCATAGACGCACCAGCTCTATATTAAAAAACTAAATGTATACATGGACTTGATAAAAGCAGGGAAATTTAGCAACAAAGCAACTGACGACTGTTCGCACAAAAATAGTGGCTGTAGACGTTCCAATACATAATGAGCTCTGTGGAATTTAGCATGACGTTGGCTTCTCACGTTCAAGTTCAAGATTGACTTTAAACACGCGACCAGCGAAGCACGTAGACTTTGAGCAGCTTTCATAATTTCACGCTGCAGTAACAAGGTTCTAATTGATAATAAAAACAAGAATGGAATACTAGTCGGCGGATCCGACTCTTAAAAACCCTGCACCAGCATCAAAACACATATGTAATATAGTAATTCAAATAAGTTGATACGTTGGTGGCAATGCTAAATAAGTATGCGATACAGAATTGGACCAAAGCAGCAGCTGCTGGCAGATCATAGGCAGAGACTATATTTATGGGTATATGGTTGATCTATCATGCCGAAGCTTGACATGGGGATAAATAAGCACTCATATTATGTAAGTGCCAACATATTGACTGGGTCCAAAATTCAAAACTACTGGAGCTATGGAAAATTAGGAAAAAACACAAACTTGTTCTGCTTAAGGCTTAGAATACGTTTGGTAATTCCAGCTCTTATACTCTTCGAGATCATTGCGTTCATACAGACGATGGTGAATCTGCCACTCTTCCTTCTGTGTGTTACATTCCAGCGCACTAAACCAACATACCCTTTGGGTGTAGGGTATAATAAATTCGATATAGAAATGTCCGGTGTGACGTTGCTCCTTATCAAGTCATGCGCTAGCACCACAATTGATGCTTAATCACACAGCTACATTTAAGTGCAATGTCAATTGCATTTTATGGAAATTTATTGTATGCAAATTCAACAGAATATCTTGGAAACTCACCTCTGTTCTGTCTGTTGTGGTTTTTGTGGCTGTTCCAGCGTTGACGGTGCAGTATCGCCTGCTGGCTTTGGTTGATTATTTGTATTAACAACTAAACTATCACTACACACTCGTTGAGCATTATCATAATACATATTAATATTATTTAATTGATTTTTTGGCACTTCGGCTGCTTCTGTTGCATCATTCACTTGCGCGTTCTGCTCATAAACAGCTGCGCCATAATTTTCACTATTAGGATTTACACTAATATCAGCGTAATTATCATTATTATTAATATGATCATGGTACACTGCTAATGGCAACGCATTTACATTTTCGCGCACCACTGACGTGTCTTTCGCCGCGTGTTGATTGGATTTTGCACTTATTCTCGGCGACGAAGGCGATATCTCTGGCCCTGTGCCATACTCCGTGACTTCGTTATCTTCTGCTTTATTTGCTGTCGTTGATGTTTCGATTGACACTTTTTTCAATTTTTTGTAATTTGGCAAGATCTCGACCTGTACCTCCGCAGCTTTTTCATTTTTCGGCGCCGCTGTGTCTAGATGTGCTGGCGCCGCGTTTACTGCTGGTTTCTCGATGGCACGTCTTGTTGCGCCATTGAATTTTTTTGCAGACGCATCTGCAGCTGCAACATTATCGTATAGCCAAAAGCAACAACTGCAAAGCAAAATGGCGAGATATTAGGAGAAATAATTGGTGAACGGTTTAAAATTATATTTTCTTCATATTTACTTACCTTAATACTAGATTTATGTACATAAAGCGCACTAAATGCATTCTAATGTGCATTGTTCTAAACGCGGATGAGTTCCGTTAATTACTAAACAATTTTTGCAATTACTAAAATAATGTTTAGCTCACACACGTACCCAGCGCTTGCTTCAATTGCAACTTTTAAAGAATTGCTGGAAACGCATGATGCCTTATTTCGTGTGCTATACTCGCAAATTTAGGTACTTAAACTAAATAAAAAATTAATAAATAAAAACGCGTTGCAAATTGCCATACGCGCAGAAATAACAAAATAACACATCAGACTAGCGATGACTTCTACACTAGAGCTGCAAAATGAATCGATGCAGAATCGATTTAATCGATGTTTAGCATTTTTGTTAAGCATCGATTTTATTTGTTGAGAATCGATTAATCGTGTAAATTTAAATGAACACATTTGTTTCAAGGTGACGCTGAGTGGCTAAGCGGTAAAAGTAAGTAAAATTAATAATTGCCAAATAAATCAAAACATTACATTTTCTTTTATATTTTTGATTAGATTGGTGTGTTGGTGGCTTGGAGAAGAGGAGGGAAACGGATAAATGGATAAATTTTTGAAATCAGGTAAGAATTTATGCCTCATTTAGTTAAGCAGTGAGGGGCACTCCGACATGTGACATATGTATGTATGTACAAGTATGTATGTATGTACAAGTATGTATGTATGTACACGTATATTTTATGCGCAAAACTGCACACATTTTTGTATATACATATGTGCAAAATAAATATGATTGTTACGCATGATTTTTGTTTTCTGTGCACATAAACGCAGCTTAGTTTTAATTAATTATTGCATTATTGTGTGTGTACTATTTACATTGATATATTTTTGTATGTAAACCCTTTAGCGGTACAACTATTTACATTTTTTATTTAATTTTGGTTTTTAGGTAATATCAAGGAAGTTGACGAGTCCGTGGAGCACAGTGGCAAGCGTAAGGGAAGGCAAAAGTCCGACATTTGGAACTACAGGCTGCCAGGGGGAAACTCTGCAAAATGCAAAACTTGTGGTTTGGATTATAGAACAGGTGGAAACACAACAATCTTGTTTAATCATCTATTGCGGGCTCATACGACTTTGTCCCATGAGTCGAAGCCTGTGGCGACCATAAAAACTTTCTTCAGTTCAAACAATTATTATGAAAACAATTCCGCGCATAAAAAGGAGCTTGACAAAGCATTAACCCGCATGATTGCCATTGATATGCAACCCTTTCGCATTGTTGAAGATCGTGGATTTCGTGATTTCGTTTATTACCTTAATCCAAGGTATATATTGCCCAGTAGGACAACTTTGAGAAACGTGCATCTACAAAATATGTACAACGAAATGAAAGAAAAACTTGTTCTGATTCTCAATAACGTAGAATACTGTGCCGTGACAACGGATAGTTGGACATCGCGGGCGAATGAATTTTATGTCACAGTTACTTGCCATTTCATAGACAAGAACTTTGTATTAAGAGAAGCTGTTTTATCAACGAACAAACTTGATATTGATACCGATCACACAAGTAATAACATAGCTGACTCTTTGCGTGCAGTACTGTTGGATTGGAATATTTTATATAAAACTTCTACTATTGTTACGGACAATGCAGCAAATATGATAAAAGCTTGTGAAATTCTGAAGAAAAGGCATTTGCCATGCTTAACCCAAACCTTGTAATTCAGGATGTATTGGCAAGCGGATTGTCACCTTTTTTAAAAGCAGTTCTATTGCATATGCAAAATTAAAAGCCGCTCAAAATGATGAAAACCCCCTTAGCCTAATACAGGAAGTACCCACGAGATGGAACAGCTCATTCAAGATGATGGAAAGAATTATAAAATTAAACAGTAACATTTCTTCTGTGCTTCTTAGTACTTTAAAAGCACCTCATCCATTGACTGCGGATGACATAAATATAATGAAGGACTTAGTTTGCTTGTTTATGCCCTTTGACACTGCAACCACCCGGGTCTCTTCGAGCAGCATAGTTACAATTTCCGAAATAATTCCGACTACAGTTGATCTATACCATCGCTTACACAATGCAAAACTGGCACTTAAGACAGCGGAAGGAATAAAAACCTACAACTCTTTGATAGATGGAGTTAATCGTCGCCTTGCACCTTTTGAAAATCGAAGCGTAGCTCAACTTGCAACGATTTTTGAACCAAGATTTAAAAAAGAAGGGTTCGGTTGTTCTTCCACCGCCGACGCAGCAGGTTTTTTGTTGCAAAATGAAATTGCAGCTTGTAGTTCATACGGAAATCCGACTCCCGACATCGAAGAGCCACCAACACATCCTGATTATCCAAGCACTAAAACATTGCAAATTTATGCATTTGTGCAGGACAAAATAGCACAAAAACAATCAAGAACCCCGCAAGCAGATGGTATAATATTAGTGAGACAATACTTAGAAAAACCTCACGAGTTGCAGGGCACACCACCATTGGAATACTGGAAGGTAATACTTGTGGCATCTAAAAAACTTAACTGCTAATTATATTTTTGCAAATTTCAGACACATGTGCATGAAATGCAACACTTTCAAAATTGCATCTTTAGTATTTGTGCATTCCAGCATGCTCCACTGCGTCTGAACGCATGTTCAGTAAGGCGGGATGCATCCTCTCTGACAGACGCGCCGCTTTAAAACCGTTTATTGTAGACTAGTTGCTGTTTACAAACAAAAACCAATGGCTAAATGAATAAAATTGATCTTATTAAAAATAAAATTTAATTTTTCTTCCTTAACGATTAATCGATTTTATTTTTGAAAAAATCGCGATTAATCGTAAAAGATCGATGCTGCCAACATCGATTATTTTGCAGCTCTATTCTACACTGATAGTGATTATCGATAGCGAGCAACAGCTGACTTGACGCAAGTACTTTGGCGGTGGCATCGATACTAATATTTAATGTTTGTCGTCTTGTTTTGTTTAAAAAGTGCAACTTATAACAAAAACACAGTTAAAATATATCCGAATCATGTCATTTTTACGTGGTTCACTTAACTATGTTTGGTGTACCACCAGCGTGCTCGGTAAAGGCGCTACCGGGTCTGTTTTTCAGGCAAGTTATTGTATTTCCTTATTGTAATTCCCAGCAAAGAAAGCCACTGAGAGCTTAGCCAGAAAAAAACTGAAGGTATTCACTTTCTTGCTATCAAGGGATCTATGTAAGACTCGCTTCTGAAACATTTAGGACACATTGCACGGGGAAAAAAAAAGCATCATATGTACAAAAGTGTTATGAATCACTTCACAGATTGCTTATTTCAATTTTTAAAGTTTAAAACATTTCACAAGCATAATATTGCGTAGTTTACTGCAGGCCAATAAAACTCTCTTAAGTACAGAATATCTACGATATTGGAAAGGATACAATCCATTCTAGTTGATTCTAAAACTATTTGTGTTTGTGACAGGAAATGTGTACGTGGTGCAATGGTGTATACATACATACATATGTATGTATGTTCAATTTGGAGAACTTGTTATAATTCGTTGGTTTTTGTAATAATTTATATCTTGTAGGGAGTTAACAAAACCACCGGGGAATCGGTGGCCGTGAAGACATTCAATCCCTATAGTCACATGCGACCGGCCGATGTGCAAATGCGCGAATTTGAGGCGTTGAAAAAAGTGAATCATGAGAACATTGTGAAGCTGTTGGCTATCGAAGAGGATCAAGAGGGTCGTGGAAAGGTAATTGTCATGGAGCTCTGCACTGGCGGCAGCTTGTTTAACATCTTGGATGATCCAGAAAACTCATATGGACTGCCAGAAAACGAGTTTTTGCTTGTGTTGGAACATCTGTGCGCTGGAATGAAGCACCTTCGTGATAATAAGCTGGTCCATCGTGACTTAAAACCAGGAAATATTATGAAGTTTATATCCGAAGATGGTCAAACCATATACAAGTTAACCGATTTTGGTGCAGCGCGTGAACTGGAGGATAACCAGCCATTTGCTTCGCTTTATGGCACAGAAGAATATCTGCATCCTGATCTTTATGAGCGCGCTGTGCTACGCAAGTCGATACAACGTTCCTTCACGGCGAATGTGGATCTATGGTCTATTGGGGTAACATTGTACCACGTAGCCACTGGCAATTTGCCTTTTAGGCCGTATGGAGGACGCAAAAATCGGGAGACCATGCATCAAATAACAACTAAGAAGGCATCGGGCGTTATTTCCGGAACGCAATTGTGTGAAAATGGTCCAATTGAATGGTCTACAACACTACCACCACACGCGCATTTGTCTCAGGGCCTTAAAACGCTTGTCACACCACTACTTGCTGGCCTATTGGAAGAAAACCGAGATAAAACGTGGTCTTTTGATCGTTTCTTCCATGAAGTGACATTAATATTGCGCAAACGCGTTATTCATGTATTTTACACCAATCGGACCACCTCTGTGGAAGTATTCTTAGAGCCTGACGAACAAATTGACAACTTTCGAGAACGCATATTTCTACAAACCGAAGTGCCGCTGGAAAAGCAAATCCTACTTTTCAACAATGAGCATCTGGAGAAGAAGGTTACGCCGCGCACTATTGGTGAGTAATTCATTAAAGAATTAAAATGGGACAGTGGACAGACTTAGTCCCTTCTTTAGGAACACATTAAATTAAATTATATTTCTATTACAATTTGTATTGCAGCCAAAGCATTTCCAGTGACAACCACAGAACAGCCCATATTCCTATACAGCAATGATGATAACAACGTGCAATTACCACAGCAATTGGATTTGCCGAAGTTTCCAGTGTTTCCTTCAAATGTGTCCGTCGAAAATGACGCAAGTTTAGCCAAAGTAAATTATTGTTTTCAACTTAATCCTTTTATACTAGGTAATAAATTACCTCTTTCCAGGCAGCTTGTAGTGTGGGTCATGAGTGCAAGCGACGGGTAGATATATTCACCACAATGGATATACTGATAAAGAAGGGTGTCGAACAGTTTATTGAGACATTAATAACGACCATATCGTTGCTCTTTAAGTAAGTTAAGCCCAAAACATTTCAACTCATTTATTGACATCAATTTAAATCACACAGAAAAACCAAAAGCTTTGATAATCTGTTAGGAACAGTTATTGATTATGCCGATGTGGTGCAAAGCATGACCAAAGTGGTAAGGTTTTTATAGTTTATATAGGTAGATATATTAAGAATAATTTGGTTTTGTAGACAAAAGGAGATCAGGAGCTGAGGGCCCTATTAAATGCTTTAGACGATGCAAAAAACGATTTTGACAGTGCTGCTGACGTTATCACCCAAATGCACAAACATTATGTTACTGAGGACACACTGAAGTGAGTTATAATTGTATCCGTGAGGCAATAATATTTATTTATACATATTTTCTAACCAGTGATCAGTGGACAACTTCCATGAGAGGGAAGAAATGCCCCTGCCGCACACGTGCCAGTGCGCAGGCCAAGTACTTGGTGGAACGTTTGCGGGATTCCTGGCAACATCTCTTACGCGATCGCGCCACACGCACGTTGACCTACAACGATGAACAGTTTCATGCGCTTGAGAAGATCAAGGTAGACCACAATGGCAAACGGATTAAGGCATTATTGCAGGACAATGTTAGTCCAGCCGTTGCCCAAATGGCTGAATGCTTGGCCGATTGGTATAAACTGGCCCAGACTGTATATCTGAAGACTCAAATATTGGAGAAGGATGTGCGCGATTGTGAACGCAAATTGCATACCATTCGTGATGAGCTTTATCACATTAAATCAGAGCTGAAGCTTGATATGGATACAAAAACTATTAACAACAACCAATTGGCCAAAATTGAGGAGCGAAATCGCCTGCGTATTATGAAGCAACAACAGCAGGAAGTCATGGCCGTCATGCGAAAGAATGGCGAGCTAATAACTTTGCTAAGCAAATTGGGGTTGGGAAATGATAGCAGCTAAGGTTTATCTTTGCTAAAACGTTCAAAACGTTAAATATATTTTTATCACCGCCTACATTTTTCCTTCGCTTACATTCCATTAAACATACTTGTATTCTATAGGAGCACTAAGTTGACTTATGATTTCAGGAGTGAGCTTAAGGTCTCAGGGAAAGTGGCGTTGCGAACCCCATAAAGTATGTACAAGTATAGTAGAACATACATATATTCTTAATCAGTGTGACGAATCAATATAGCTATGCTAGTTTGTCTGTATTAATGCAAGAGCTACCATAACCAAACGTTAAATACATGGGAGAAAAATTTTAAGGAACATAAGTTCGACATCCTCAGCAAACTCAATTTTTCGAGAATATGAGAAGATATATCTAAAGAGGTAGTTTAAAAAGGGTGTAAATGATAGAGGGTCACGATGTCTACCCTGAGACACACCAGAAGATATTTAATAGAGCTTATGCAAATAATTTACTGATGTTGGAGTTAACGATTTTTCAATTTGGCGAGCACCTACATTATGTACCAAGGAAGTAAATTCGAGCAAGTTGGCCCTGATTGACTGCCCTTTATGAAACCATGTTTCTTTTTTAATGTAAGCAGTACATTTGTGCATACAGGTTTAGCACATTTACATGCTTACAAATATATAAATGGCCTAACCTCGAGCACATGCGCGCGAGGATTAATAAGTAATTGTATTGAAAAACCCTTATCGTTGCCAGAAAGGAGTCCTCTTGCAAGCAAACTGTCTTTATATCTACTTGTGTGCCTTCCAATCTCCTCCTCCACGGTGAACAGGTTTAGGTCTCGGCGAGCAGGAGAGATAAAGAATTACAATTATTTTAATTACAACTTCAAATAATTAAGGTTGTAACAGAATAGATTTGCAATACTTTATTTATTTAAGACCAACATAATTAAAAAGAGTGCAGAAACAAGTGAGAGGTAAAACAGCCTGCGCCTTGTCATACATATGTATGTATATAATTTATATCATGTATCACATATATTAGGAGATAATTGTTTTCGTAATATGTCCACAATGAGAGTAAATGTTGATTCGTATTCTTTATTATCATACCTTTTACAATATTTGTATCTTGGTACCAAATACATATTTTATATATATTTTTGCTGTTAATTTAAATTCAAGCTCGATCCCTCAAAAGCAGGCTTGTATTCGTACTCATATATCGATAATTGCGTCCTCAATACTCGCTGTACTCGTCTCCCACCAACATTCAATATTTTTGTAAAAACAGTTTATGCCGGTAATTTTAATTGTCCATTATCTTTCATATAATTTACAATTTGGAGTGAAAATACGCCCACAAGATGGGCGTGCTAAGCGGAATCGCTCTAGTCATCGAATATATGGTGTTGCAACCAATTACCTTAATAATTGAGACCGTTGTATCCATTGTTTACTACTTTCTGTATGGGAGCTGGTTAGTCGGATTTTGTTTGGTTGAAGGTGGCACTTACATTTGGCGCTTCCTTTGCGACATTTTTGAAGTATTAGGTATTTTTGTCTCGGAAGCCTCGCGTTTCTGCTGCGAGCTGCGGGAAATTTTCTTCGAGGTAAGCGAGTACGTACAAGGAGGTACCTGCGATGGAATATTGCTGGTAGAAAAGACATTTAAAGCAACAGCCCAACATCTGCACAATTTTGTGCGTACAACTGAAGTGCACACTCGCTTGTGGGCGACTGCAGCCGGAGGGACTTTGAGCACTATTGGAAGATTTTTGTTTAATGTGCTTGTTGGGATTGGCAATTGTGTGCTGTGGCTATTGATGCTGGTTCCGCGAGCTGTTGCTGCTTTTCTGGACTATCTTTTATATGTACTAGAAACTGGCGTGCGGTTCCTTATTACACGAGGCGTTGAGTTGTTAAGCAGCGTGTTCCGGTTATCCATTGGCCTGGCTGTATTACTGTTACTATACATGTTCCGGGGATATTTATACCTATTTATAGCTTATGCGTTGCGGCAGATGTGCGTCAAATGTATGTCGAAAATTCGCAGTGCGTACTTTTGGATCGATGAAAACATTTTTGGTTGGTTGCAAAAATTAGAGATCCAACGAGGCAAGGCTTTGGATACATCAACTCGTGAAGGATGTGTAGTCTGCATGGACCGCAGCAGGTGCATAGTCATTTTACCTTGTCGTCATTTTTGTATGTGTAAGGAATGCTCTGAACAATTAATACATATTCCGAACTACGATCAGCAAGTTTGTCGTTGTCCCGTTTGCCGGCATAATATCGAAGGAATGATGTCGGTATATGTTTAAATAGTTTTCAAGTAAATACTTGTTTTAAGTTTCAGTTAAAATTAGTTAGTGTATATATTAGTCATTTGAATTACTATATAGTATGTACTGTCAATTATAGCTTTAGCTTTTACTTTACAATGAAATGATCTCAAAAATTATTTTTTGGGAAGATGTAAGAACGTACCTATAACTTTAAGACGAACATAGCTTCTATTAAATAGAATAGCTTTTCATTTTAAATATTACTAATAGACTACAGGACTCAAGGCATTTAATTTAAGTCGATTAAATTATATTTTTACTGACTTTTATATGCAAATGAAATGAACGTATGTAAATATAATAATCCAATTTCAAAGTTTAAATTTTGTAATATGAATAGTAGTTTCGCCATTTCTTTCTTGGCTGGCAATCCAAAATTACAGTGCGCCCAACCAATCTTACACTGTTCTGCCTAAATATTAAATTAGTGGTTAAATCATTCCCGTTGCACTCAAACTTAACATAGGCGCAGCCAATTAATTTTCCATCATCCGTGCGCCTATATACATTTACGGACTCCACAATTCCGCACAAGCTCTCACCAGTATCTAGTTTTGTTTGATCGACCTGACCATTAATACTTGCGTGTTGTCGACGACAAAATTTCCCAATTCGGTTTTTACGGGTATAAAAACTGTCTTCTTTCTTGAATGCTGTAAGAAAAGAAATAGAATATAATTTAAAATTATACGAACTAAGAAATTGTCTTCGTCTGTGCCGAAGCTAAATACTCTTCAATTTTCCGGTTTAGAGCTCCATTGTCATTTGTCAATGTCCGTACTAATTCATATATAGCAAAGTCTGTTCATATTATTTTCAATTGGACATCCATGGTTACAATTCGCGAACCACGACTCATGTAACACCATCCGATAAATACAGTTTGGCTTTTGTAAAAGAAGGTAATCAAAAAGTGGTTTCTGAAGGCTTTAAGCAAAGTGTCAATATGATGTAGGCCAGTGTGGGATAGTAATTGGAACAGACGGACGAAGTAGTCTGCCATTCTTTTTTCTTGGTGCTGGATACTTGCACGCCAAAAACAATGTGTATACAACATACATCGTCTAAATTTATAAATTACGAGATACTATAAGTTTTCAATTCAGAAAACTCTGTAGTGTCGTAATATAGTAATATAATAAGTGGAGAAGCTAAAGTAGGGTGTCCCGACTTTCAAATACTATATGAAATAGAATATTTATAGAAATTTAAAACAAAAATTGAAAATTAAGTATCAAAATTGTAATATTACAAAAAATTTTTTGATCGATTACGCCTCTTGGGTATTCGCACTACCGAATTGAATCAAATCAGCAACAACAACAACAGCTGCGGACAGAGCTAAGGCAGAAATTACATTTATGGTTATTACTTCCTTTCAAATTGACCTATCATGAAGAAACTTGGGACTTGGACACATAATCACTAAGGAAAATGGGAGGAAAGTTTTAAAGTACACATGTTCTGCGTATTCATATAAGACATCTTGGACTAAAATTTGGTGTCTCTATGGACGGACAGACCAGCAAGGCTAAATCGACTTGTCATGCTGATCATGAATATATAGACTGTGTGGGGTCGGTATATACCTCTCAAATGCATTGAAAACAGAAACAAAAAAAAACAAAAATGTTGTATTTTTAAGTTTTCTTTCGAATTGCGTTTATACATTTATTGCACCAAAAAATCCAAATATTTTTTATTACTCATAATTGTATTAGTTTTTTGAAACTGATATATTTATAAATGTTAAATGTTATTTTGCATATGTGGTACGTGTTAAGTAGTATGCAGGTGTAAACGAGAACTCGAACTCTCCATGAAGTTAGCTTGGCTATAGATTCCAAGGCCCATGTACATACATAAGTAAGTATATACTATATGTATGTATTTGAGATATTTTGTATGCTGAATGTATGTTTGTATATTATATAGGTAGATATATCGATGGTCACCATTTCGAATTTAAAGTGTGATGATGCGTACATATATATATATATATTTTATATCATCAATGATACATATGTATATGTAACTCTAGAACAAATTTGTTGGGGCTTTAATTAAAACGATTACGCGTATATATGTATGTTTATGTGTATATATGTATGAGCATTATATATGTATGTATATATACTTATGCAATTGATTTGCGAACGATAATGTGATTGCAACGCTTCCTTCGGCCTATGCTAAATGTTTTATGCATGTAGATAAGTAGTTATGTATAGTATAATGTAACATTTTTTCGCTTTAGTTTAACATTTCGCTAAAGAACTGTCATATCTTAGATTTTACTCCGATTGCAATGTATATAGTAAATAGTCAAACCAACATTAGCTACATAAATATGTATGTCTGTTTTTATGCAATATTTTCGTTATCTTTTGTTTTTAAATATATGCATGTATATGGGCTATAGAGGCATTAATAGTTGTTGTATGCAATAACAATTAAATGTACTTAATAACCATAGCAATTTCGTTATGTGTGTTTTTAAATTTTCTTTAAAGGCATTTGACAGTGTTAATATAAGTATTGATAGTACATATACTTACATATATATGTATATATATTGATATATATGTATATATATGTATGTAAATATATACATATATATATATATATATATATTACTAAATACAGTTTAAGGTAAATAGTCTAGCTGTAACAAGCATTAAACACACACAGAGCACAAACAAATGAGTATATAACAGAATTTGAAAAAGAAAATTAGTTTTCCATATTAATGCAATACATATAGCAGCTTGTTTGATTTACCTTGTCGGCAATTTCCCTATAAGTTTTTGTACATACGCACAATTATACCATATATATGTATATGTAATATTTTGAAATATAACTAAATCGGCGAACAATCTTAAATGTTTGTCAACAGAAATTAAACTATGGCAGTTGAGATAAGCGCTTAAATTAATAATAAATACACGTGTACTTTTAATCAAGCATGTGATAACATTTACCAATCCTATTTATGATTTCTTGTTGCTTTCTTTAAATTAAATTTTGTTGTTTCCTTATTAATGTTAATGGAATTATGCGTTAAGATTTGTTTCAGAGTTAAGATAATGGTCATCATGCTTAGTATTTAGTTAACAATTAATATTAAAGTGGGGTTCTTTGTTAATTTATGTTATAAATATATACAAATACATATATGTATATACGCGTTTTTTTGGAAAACACAGAAAACACCTATATTGTTTATATAGTACATATTTTTGTCTTAGGCGTTGTTTCACTTAAAAGAGAAAAAACATTTACTACGCTTTTATATGGTTGTAACACATTTAGATACAACAAAACTGTATTTGTAATCGCAATTTGATATATTATCCTTGTTTTCATTTCATATGCATATTATGTAATTCAATATCCGTTATATATGTATGTAACTTGATTTTTTGAATGACTCTTTGATTGATTACGTTTATGAACTAAAGTCACGCATTTGATTTAATACGTAGTATATATGAGCTATCTGAATATGTATCTATGTCACCTTCAGAATGATGTTTGGGACTTTTTACGTGTAGAAGTACCTTTAGACCTTTTTAACAGAGAATATATATATATATATTTTTTGGAAACTCTCCAACACTGCAGTTCAGCCCAACTAGAAACCTAGAATATCGAAAGCTCCCCTAACATAAAAACCGCAGAAAAAGAAATTGGGGCGATTAGACGATTAAATTCCTGCGAGTCAGTATCTTGTCTACCCTGTACCGACGCTTTCTGATCTCCATAGATCTACTAATATTAACAACTTTTTCTTTGTATAGTATGTACCTTAAACATGGGGTATCCAACGCCTTCTTGTGTCTATTACATACGTTTAGAATTTCTAGTATACGCATTAACAACTCAGGTACAGGGTATACAAAATGAGAACAGAAGAGAAATACTACAATAGAATCTTTCATTTAATCAAGTAGTGTAAAATTTTCGCTCTTCAATACCTTACAAATAAAATGTATTTGTATTTTTAATGCAATAACTTATTTACAGCTTACAGATACCGAGTTTGGATATAAAAAATTAATATGAATTTAAATATTGAAATTTAGTCGGATTGTTGGAATTGTAAATATAAGGAAGGGAATGTACCCAATTTTTTAAGGGCAGCCTAAAAATATGCAATGTTTAATGCAATGATCAAATCGTAAACGAAAATTTGGTATTTTCAGGAAAGCCCTTCCCATGGGTAAGGTCGGTCTATTGCGACAATATACTACGTTTTGGTATTCAAGGTCCACCGCTGGTATTTAAGAATTCTTCGTGCGATAAAAGGACGACTATAAAACTCAAAATATATGCATTATCGATTTCTGTGCAATCAAACGCAACCATTTACTGAACTATGTTATGCTTTATATGTATGTGTATCCTATGCATGTGTTTCTGTATCCTATTGCGTGCAGCGAACATGTGCAGCTTCACCTTGTTGACTACGCTTTAGATAAGCCGTGTATTAGCTGCTCCACTTTTAACTGAAGTATATAACCACATAAAGTCGTGGAAATTTGTGTGTTGCCTAAGTGAATAATCCGCTCCATGCTGCTTACGTGCCAAAGCCAATGGCTCGTTATACGTTTCCTAAAGGCCAAAAAATTCAAAACATGGAATTAGAAATGCGGTTGCATTTGTTTAGTTTAAATGGGAGTTCATTTATAAATATTTAAATACAAATAAATATATATGTATATATAAAAAAGTTGATTGTATCATTAACATACAAAAAATAAATACAATTCCTATAATTACACGTACGATGTATATACATAAATCAAAAGAAACTCATGACAAAATATTGACTAATAGCAAAAGTTGCAACAGTTGGATGTTATGAAAATTGACCTTTTAACTTAAAATCGAACAATTGCTATAAAACTAAATAATGGCTTTTAACAATCAGATAAACGTTGGAAGATATTGCAACAAATTCCTACTAAACTATAAGAGAGGGCCAGTGCTGCCAGCGAGCATAAAGTGGGCATGATCATAAGCATTAACAATAGGGTATATAAGTATAAACAAAAAATATCGCAATTAAAGAGAATACGGAATGTGAAAATAATAATAGAGAGCGTTTAACAAACTAAGCAGCGCCGTGTGATCGTTGTTGGTGTCGGGAGATTCGCTACTTTTGGCCATTCGTTGTTTTCGAAGCTGTCTTACCGGATGTCACAAATGGTCCTACATAATTGCTGGGGAATAAACCAGAGAGCCCATTTAATTCTCCTCGCCACCATTCTGGCTCATCACGACCCAAGACACTGATAATATCGTCCTTTTCAAAAGAGAGCTCATCATCGTTTTGTGCTTTGTACGGGTATAAAGCAATGACTTTGTCTACAACGAAAATATTAAGTATTAGATTTCCTTGAGCTTATTTTATTTACAAGCTTTTCTTACCCAAAATCTGTTCGGTCATTTCTATGCGACTTCCTGAGACTGGCGTATTACGTCCACTGTTGCGTCCTCCCTGCAAAACCTTCACGTATGTGGCCGGAAACCAACCAATTTGACGCCGTCGTCCCTTGGCCTGCAGCTCACCCTCCCACCAACCAGAATCGGTTTTTTTGCGAATCATAATCAACTGGCCTCGCGTCAACGACAATTGCTCAGTGCTTGTGGCCTCATAGGGAGCAATAACTTGTGCAATTTCCGAGCGCTTGGCACGCATACCCTGCAAGAAGTAAATAAAAGAAAAACGTTTTTAGGAAATTTTAGGGACTCAAAAATCTGCGACTTTTCAACTATTTACTGGTGTCATGGAAGAGGTGCGTGACATGGGCCGACTAAAGCTCTCGGCCGGCTCATTTTTGGATTGTGTATTTATTTGTGATACTTCGGTATCGAGATCTTCATTTGTACGTGTTTCCTCTGTGCTTTGCTGCAGTTTCTCCTCCACCTGTTGCGGCTGTTGCTGCTGCGGCTCTGGTAGCGATGTGTAAGCAGCGTTGCCATTCAACGTGGTGTCCTGATACCCATTGATTCCATCATATGAACATTAAAAGCGAGGGAGAGGTGACACATGAAAAGTATTTGATTAGTTGTTTGATGCTAAATGAAGGGTTAATAACGGTATAAAACTGTCAGTATACATAGCTATTAAAGCAGACATGTGTTGGAAACAACCGGTTCGGTGCAATATATAATATAGGTGCCATGGAATGATCGTAAATTAAATTGAGCTTGGAACGCTTAATGCTGCGTTATATGTTTCTATACCCTGTTACCAAAGGGTAGAAGGGTATACTAGTTTCGAGTGAATGTACGTAATACACAGAAAAAGGCGTGGCAAACCTTCAATAGTGTATATATTTTTTTCAGTATAACAAGACGAGTCGATTAAGCCATTATCAGTAGAATATATATACTTTGCAGTTTCTGCCAACTAGTATACCCTTTGGGTACAGGGTGTGAGAAGATAAATTTTAACGTTTTTCTGTTGGGAAATAACTATGGTTAGGTACATATAGGAAATGTTTATTTGGTGGGTGTAGGTATGTGTTCTCGTCTAAATGGGTTTTGAAAAAGTTCTTACAATTTAATTTCCGGTTTGTAAACTTTTTACAACCTTCTTACTCACCTGTTCGCTATAAGTAGATGGGACATCCGTTGCAGGCACAGACGTGCCAACATCCGCCTTTTGTACATAGTTAGAGGGAAACATTCCAGTACGATTGCCAATCGTGCCTGTCCACCATTCGCCTTCCTTTTTAATAACCATCACCATTTCACCGGCGCTAAAACTCAAATCACCTTCCTCGGCGGATTCATAAGGATATGCGGCTATGTAATATTCGATGTCGCCAGGAGCAGCTGATGCGCTTGTCAGCTCTGGCTCTGTTATAGCGCTATTGTCATTGTAGCTATCGGTGGCAGCTGGTAATATTTCAGGTTCTGCAGCTATAGCTGTAGCTACATTGCTGCTGCCATATTCGCCATCCAGCTTTTCTACGTAGGACTCGGGAAACCAGCCAGTGTGTCCATTTATTTCGCCGGCCAACCAACCCGGTTCGGCATTCTGTTCCAAAGGCACAAGTATGATGTCACCAGGAACAAAAGTAATCTCCTCTGCGTTGCGTGCGGTGAATTCGTACACCGCACGATACTTGGCAAAACCTTCCGGTGCCGGCCCACTGACATCAATGACAGCTACTGCTGTCACAGCACTCGAATCATTGGATAGTCCACTGTAGGAATCGATCGGAGCAGCCGCCGCAGTGTTGCTTGTATCTCCCCAGGCACTACTGCTGGTGCCCGTGTCCCAACCAGAGCTAACAGCCATCTCATTCTTGCGATTGTATTTCAATTCCAGAACTGAGGTGCGCTCCACGTCATACTCTTTGTAGAGTTCCTCGCATTTGGTAATGAGCGCAGAAAGTTCGCCCTTAACCTCAGCCATTTGCACATCATTAGAATTAATGTCTTCCTTTTTCGATTCAATTTCGCTGCGTATGTTGTCTACCTTGTCTTTAATTTGCTTGATCAGCAGCTGGAAAAGAAACAGAAATAATCAAAACTGCTTTTGATACCTTTGCTCTTTCCAGTATCACCTGCTTATGTGCAAAAGCTGCATTTAGTTGTTCCTGCTGTGCTGTTTCACCAGCAACTCCACTTGCCTTCGACTTGGCATCCCACTTAGCTCGCTCTTGTGTCAACTGCAATAGTTTCGCATTTTGCTCCTTGATGCGCGCCTTGAGCTGCGCCATTTCACTCATCGATGTGTCGCGCTGAGTGCGCATGCCATCAATGACAGACTTAACATTAGTCACACCGGCACGCGTATCGCAAATCTTTTGCGATAAATCCTTGATCTAAAAAAGTGTCAAATTAAACTACTAGTCTAGGGCTATACGGGCAGTGTGCTATCATTTACTTTTTCGTTCAATGTGCTTAGCTCAATGTTGAGCTGGGTGTTATGGGCTTTCTGCTTTAGTACGCGATCCTGCTCACGTTCCTTCTGTGCGTTCATTTCTGCAATACGTGCCTGCTCCCATTCCTGTTGGCGTTGCTTTTCCAGCTCTCTGAAAAACACAGTCGATATGGTTTAGCTATGTGTTATCCGGTAAGAGTTCCATTAAAAAAGGAACCATATTTTTCACTTTTTATGCAACTTTATTCCCCATTCCCAATAAATACATGTACTTGTAAATACTTACTTTCTCGCCGCCTCTTTGGCTTCCAATTCACGCTTGCGTTGTTCCTCCTTTTCCAATTCGATTTCTCGTTGCCGCTGTAATTGTCGTTCCAATTCCTCTTGTTGCTTACGTTCAGCTTCAAGGCGAGCCTTTTCACGCTTTTCAGCCTCCTCGCGTTCTTTTCGCTCTCGTTCCTCACGTTCCTTGCGCTGCTGATCTTCCATAACCTTTCGCCTGCGATCCAACTCAACTTTACCCTTTTCATAGTTCTCCTTGCGTTTGTCTTCAAAGGAAGCTGAAAAGAAATTTGTGAATTGTAGCTCCTTTCTTTAACTGTTATAGTGGAAGCTTACTTTGTGGCAAGCCCGCGGCCGGGTCAGAATCTATTACGCCACCCTGTGATGAAACCGAAGCATGCCGCGATGCCGGTTGTGAGCCTGGCCGCGAACTTACTCCGGAAACGGAACCGGGTCGGGACTTCATTTTACGTAAATTGGGCGGTATCCATTCCATTGGCAAGGTAACAGGTATTTTCTCACCGGCCATCGCTTTTTCACATAGAAACATGGCCAAAATGAACTCGTCGCAGCTCAAGCGACCGTCACCATCAATATCAGATAATGTCCAGATCTGTGCTAATGTAACTTGCGGTAATTTACTTTGGACCAATACGCTACGGGCCTGGGCGCCGGTCAAATATCCTGAGCGTGTGCGATCATTAACATTAAAGACCTGCGTGTATTTGCGCTTCTGTGCCGCTGGAACCGTCCACTCCGCTTGACTGTGTTCAAGATTTCTTATGTTAATAATTAATTAAATTGATTGTTTTTTATATAATTTAATTTTAAAAAAATAGCGTTTTTTGTCTCCTATTTTTATACCTGCATGCAAAGTACATCCTTTGTTAAACATACTTTTTATACTCATTTCCCAAAATGTAAAAGGTTATATTAGGTTTGTGAAAATGTATGCCAGGAAGAATCTCCAACAAGCATATTCTTTAACAGCAAGACGATACAAATCTATCTAGAAAGGCCGTATGTTCATAGATTGCGCACGGAAGTAATACCCCTCTAAGATGTGTAGTGAATAGCAGAATAAAAAGACATATGGATGGCATTGACTTTCGGACTTATTCGAATATAACATTATGTCTTGTTTTACCCAAACACCCTTAAAATTATGGCACCTTAATGATTTTGAACTTACGGTGATTCGATTGATGGTGCACGTTCCGATATAGACATATGACGACTAGGTGGATTACTATGCGGTGGAGTTGGCATAGCTGGGACCTTGGGCACATCGGCAACAATACCAGGTGGCGATACAATTGTTGCAGCAACGGGTACAGCCGGCGGTACACTTGGCACAACTGCCGGCACACTGGGCAAAGCAGCCACAGGCACTGATGCAGAGGTTGCAATGCTCTTGACCGTTTCGAGGGGACTCATGGAACTGGTTGAACCCCGTGGTGACATTGTTGGCGTTTGTCCAGGTGCTGTTAATGAGGCTATTAGGGTAGGCGGCAGCGCTTTCGGTACCTCCAAGCCGCGCAACTTTAAATTTATGAGTTTGCAAGCTATGCTGAACTCATTAATGTTCATCTTTCCATCTGAATCCGTGTCGGCCAATGCCCTTCAGTTGGAGAGGGATGACGGAAAAGACGATTGTAAGTGTGGGGAGAAGCAAATAATCAACTACGCTCGCTTTTCACAAAGCCAATGAACATGAGCTCATCAGAGTTGACGACTTCACAGCTTGGGTGAACTGATAAGCGTAGATGTGACTCATACTCACCAGATTTGGCCCAAGATCAGAGGCGGAAGTTGCGACTGTAAAAAGAATCCTTTTGCTTGTGCACCCGTTACGAAACCACCCTGCGGCTGCAGCGTTTTGAATTGTTCTTGATACTTGATCTTTTCACGCTGGGTAACAACCCACGGATCTACTGCTGGATTCATTTTGTTGCCTGTTTTTTTAGCCTATTTCAAATGAAGTGTCTCAAAGTGGTTTAGTCGTTGCTTCTATGTGAATGTAGGGGGTATCCAACTTTTTCGCAATGTGTGTGTGTTTTTTTCTTTCTTGTATACACTATCCCAGTTTTCGTTTACCAGACGTGCAAAGCGTGTGTATTTCTCGTAACAGCTGCGCCTCCGACTCCCCCACAAGCCTGTTCCAAAAAGTTGTGTGTTGTGTACGAGTGTTTTCTCGTTTAATGCGTTCTCTTCAGCCGCTGAGTACACATCAAATAGATGTCATGCTCCTCCACACGCTCGCAACTGGCTTTACGCTCTTTACTATGGCTGTTGAGTATTCGTTTGCTCCCACCACCCCACAATTTTCCACAATGGATTTTTAAAGTTCGCCTAAAAACAATGTTAAATATTATAAAGCAACCTGGACACTATTTATTTTCATATTTATATCAAATTAAAAATTAATTAATGATTTTTCTCGTTTTTCAGTTGTTTTTTATTTAAGAGGCGTATTTTACTGAACCGCGGCGCACAACATATCTTCATAACTAGATATGCACTTGCTCGACGTTTATATGCTGCGGGATTTATATATTCATAGCTGTAAAACTATCAGGAAGAAAACCGCATGCTTACTTTTCATTAGAACTTTTGTTATATATTTTTACGCGTAAACAACTAAAATCAAACTTTTCCAAATCTCACTTTCTGTGCAAATGTCATTCATTCCCAATCAATAGCGGCGTTGTTACCACTCTGGGCGAATTGGGGAAAAAGCGCTGCCAGATGATTATATGTAAAACAAAACAACGTTGATGTTTAAATTTTACAACAAATTATCATTAACTATATTTTGATCGATTTCAATTTAATAAAATAAGAATATCTTAGATAATTCTAAAGTAAATAATTTAAATAAATAAAATTTCCTACCATTGCCCTATGCTCACGCACAGCCCGATACATCGTATGATAAGCATCGATGCTCATTGCGCCACGCCAAAGTCAGTCTTCTCCCATCCCTAGCTAAATTTGTTCTTTTCTTACGAACACGTGCGGCGACTGGTAATAATCGTTTTGTATAACGAAGTTAAATATCTAATAAAATGTCGGAAACTTCAGAAGACGAACAGGAGCTACAATCAAATGACGATGAGGAAGAATTTAGTGGCGGGGAAGAAACGAATAATGAGATTGATGACGCGAATAATAAAGAAGCAGATGCAAGTAGTGACTCAGACGAAGAAGGTGAAGCTACCGCTAATCAAGAAGAGAAACTGACATGGGAACAACTTGTAAGTCCTTTACATTCCTAACGGCCTGGTGTTTTGCCTATAATGTTTACAACTCAAAGGGCCTGAACGAAACGCTTTGCAAGGCCTGCGAGGAGCTCAAATGGAAACAGCCATCGAAGATCCAACGAGAGGCCATACCAGTAGCTCTCGAAGGCAAGGATGTAATTGGCTTGGCGGAAACCGGTTCTGGCAAGACAGCAGCCTTCGCTTTACCCATATTGCATGCTCTTCTCGAAAATCCGCAACGTTACTTTGCTTTAGTGCTGACGCCCACACGCGAATTAGCCTTTCAAATTGGTGAACAGTTCGAGGCGTTGGGTAAGTGGGCTTATATATAAATGATATACTCGTATAAAAATTATAAATGCAATCACAATGATGTTAAACCCTGTTTTGATTTAGTGTTTTATGCAAAAGATGAAATTATTATTTTTTATTTCGTCACTACCTCTGAGTAAACTTATAACCCATAGCTTTGAAGCGTAAATTACACATACTTCAATAATTTTTGTGTGTTGTCTCCTTGTTCTAACATTCTCAGGCAGTGGCATTGGCATCAAGTGCTGCGTGGTCGTCGGCGGCATGGACATGGTTGCCCAGGGCCTACAGCTAGCCAAAAAACCACATGTTATTATAGCAACTCCAGGTCGTCTTGTTGATCATCTTGAGAATATGAAAGGATTTAACTTAAAAGCCATTAAATATTTGGTCATGGATGAAGCCGACCGCATACTTAATATGGATTTCGAAGTTGAACTCGACAAAATACTAAAAGTGCTACCACGAGAACGTAGGACATTCTTATTTAGCGCCACGATGACAAAGAAGGTGAAAAAGCTACAACGTGCTTCTCTAAAGGATCCCGTGAAGGTAGAAGTTTCAAACAAATATCAAACCGTCGACCAACTGCAACAGTACTATCTCTTCATACCGGTCAAATACAAGGATGTATATTTAGTACATATACTTAACGAATTAGCCGGCAATAGTTTTATGATATTCTGCAGCACGTGCAACAACGCGGTAAAGACGGCTCTAATGTTGCGTTCCCTTGGCTTTGCCGCTATACCATTACATGGGCAAATGTCGCAAAACAAGCGCCTAGCCGCGCTCAACAAATTCAAGTCGAAGAACCGGTCTATTCTAATATCGACAGATGTTGCTTCCAGAGGTTTGGATATTCCACACGTGGATGTTGTTTTAAATTTCGATATACCCACACATAGCAAGGACTACATACATCGAGTGGGACGAACCGCGCGTGCTGGCCGTTCTGGTAAGGCTATCACAATTGTCAGTCAATACGACATCGAACTGTATCAACGCATTGAACACTTGTTGGGCAAACAATTGCCGCTCTACAAGTGTGAAGAGGATGAAGTTATGGCACTGCAGGAACGCGTGGCTGAGGCGCAACGCACAGCAAAACTGGAGCTCAAAGATCTAGAAGAGAGCAAAGCGAGCAGGGGCAGGGGAAAACGTGGAACGATGGATCATGATGACTCCGAGAATTTTACAGGGGCAAGGAAACGCATGAAACCAATGGGAGGAAGTCAAAAAATGACTGGCAAAAAAAACTGGAACAAGAGCAAGACGAGAAAATAATAAATGCTAAGATGCTTAATTAAGTGTAGGACAGTAAAGAAATACAATTTTTATAAAATAAAGAGAATTATTTTAAACAGTATTACAGTGAGTTTTTCGTACATTTTGTAATATCAATTTTGATTCAATAAAATGCTAGAGTCGAGAGGGCTCTCAAATACCCAGAACCCACAAAAACAAAATTTTATATGTATTTTTTATATACATATATATTTTTTTAAATTAATAAAAAAAATATAACAGTCGTAGTTTTAATAGAATATTTTTACACCAATATTGTGTCAATATGTGCAGAACAGAGTTTAGCTAAAACAGCTGCGAAAAGAAATTACACTTATGGCTATAACTTCCTTTATATTTGAACTATCATGAGGACACATAAGCACTAGCGGGATGTAATTGGCAAATTTAGAATTACTAAGAATTATGGAAAGTCACTAATAGCGGGGCGTGGGTGAACGAGGAAAATTGTGAAATACACATGCTCTGCGTTTTCATATAAGGCATTAGCTTTTATAGTGTCCGAACAGCGTTACGGAAAATCCCCAAATGGGTGGAGTGGGGGCGCATCAAAAAATAAAACAAACCCGTACTGCGTACACACATAAGGCATCTGTCTGCAACATTTTGCGTCTCAATTTCTTATATTCTCTCATATCCAGCTGTTCACAGACAGAGCTAGATCGACTCGTCTTGTCATGCTGATCAAGAATATATATACTTGTGGGGTCTGCCACGCCTACTCTTGCATATTTCATGTACAGAGTACAAAAATTAACAATAACACGAATTTAGCGCATGGTCAAAAATTTTACATTTGGCCAACGATATAGAGACTTTTATTGAGAAACATAACGAACTATGTTATTTACAACTAATCTTATAGAGTCAACATTGTACCTTTTGAAGAAGGTATTTTAAACTCACACAAAAAATGTCCGTAATGTTAATGTTATTGTCGTTGTATTGTACGGTTACGCAAACTTACGAGGGTGTTTTTGTATTCATCCAAATATGTTTCGAATGGCAAGACCACTATCAGCTTCCAAACAGCACTCAGTATTAATGGAGTGTTTTTGCGCAAAGTATCTTGTATAATGTGGTTCAAAAAATCATGTGGTACTTTAAAGTTTGGATTATAAAATAGCTGCACTAGAGAATCAGTATAATCATACCAATTGGATGCAGCTAAAATCTTTAAAAGCTCATTTGACAAATCTGGAAACTGGACTGCTTCTGCCGGAAACCATAAATTGGTCATTAATATGGAAGTCGCAACATCAGGCGTCATTTCTTGGCACATACAAGCATAAATATGTTGAATTTGTGGTGCACATAATCTCCTATAGTTAGCACATGCTCCGACCATATGTATAAGATTTGATGCCATTTTTCTAGAACTAAAGATGTCGGCGAATAAATGAAAATAGTTCTGGAAGAAGAGTTTATTGCGTATAGTGTGCCTATAGGCAATAATTAAATCCAAATTGCCCATCCTGCTGAGTTTACTCATTACGTCACCCGGAAGACTAAGCGAATGATTACAATCGGCATTGCTGCATGCATTGTCTAAATTAATGTAGCATTTAACACCAAAAATTTCATGTACCCAATGTTTAAGCAAGGGCTGCATAATATTCCGAGAATGTGAATTGGGCGAAGGTGCTCGTGGTATGAAACTAAAAGGCTCAGTAACATTTGGTTGACAGACTGGCTGTACGACGTCCAGGCGGTAGGGTAGAGGAAAGACCGGAGCTGACTGTTCCACGTTGTTGAAACAATTTAGACGCCGATTATCTGATAATGTTTGCGGTTCTACTTGCTCGCAAGAATTTAAAGGTCGGTCTGATGCTGAAGCGAATGTAGAAATTCTTTTGTGTTTTGCATTTCTGCGTTTTGCATCATTAAAGGACGACTGCATATACAAGGCCTGCATGACAACGGGCTGCTCCCGAAGCGATGTAGATGTTTCCAGTGGCTTTCCTTCTTCTAAAGAAACTTTCTTGGGTATCCGAAAGTTTCCTGGCGAATTCTCTGCAGTTTTTTCAGCAGACTCTGACTGTTCCTGTTCTTGCTGTTCTGTTGCTACATATATTGCATTTAGAGGTCGCGGAATGGTTTTCTCTTTTGTGCTACTTTGTTTGTCCGCAAAGGTATCATCATCCATGCCATCCCAAGAAGTCGCTACCGATATTAAATCTTCGTCATCGTCATCATAGATTAGCGTATTATTCAATTCCGCATCTAGCTCAAGTGGCGTTTTCTCGTCGACAGCATTTAAGTTAGGCAATTTATCAAAAAATGCAGAAGTATTTGCAATTTCATTATCTATTTCACTTGGCGTCTTACTATTGAAATTCCGCAGACAACTATCAATTGGATCCCCATCAAAATTGTTTCCGTTTTTTTCGAAATTTTGCACGGCTTCTTTTAAAAACAGGTCGAGATTGGCGCCATTACAAGTCGGCTGGGCCGTCAACTCCATATCCTCATCCATAATGTCTTCCAGATTTCGGTTATTTTTTAATTGAATAAATTCTGTATTGTAATTAACAAAAATGTCCTCGGAGGAGGATGCGATGACTTCAGTAGTATCGGTTGCTATTTCCGTGCTCATCTTCTTATGCCCAAAGGGAATGCTCATGTCGATAGCTTGTGGTTGATTCTGACAGCCAATTGGCGTTTGAGCAACTGAAGCTTCTGATATACTGGTCAGATTAACTGCGAGCTGTGGCATGTGAGCTCTCTGTCCATTTATCTGTGGTGACAAAAGAATTTTATTAGGAGGCAAGAACTGCACATGAGATATAATAGAAGCCTTTACTCCGTTAGTATTGAGGTTCCGTTTCTTATTCAATGAAGACTTTAGCGATTTGGACACCTTTTCGGAGTGTGCTGCTACTACTGAAGTTGATTTCACATGTTTACGAGGTTGTATAATTGGTTGAATTTGTGGCTGTGATATTGTACCTATAGTTTGCCTTTGTCTACCCTTTAGAATACTCGTTTCCCGTTGTGGTATTTCAACCATTGGAGTAAGCTGCGTAATAGTGTTCGGGTTACGTTTTTGTTTGCGGTGTTTTTGCTCTTGTGGCTGTACTAAATTAACCCTTTCCCTTTCGCTTACTGACGGACGTTTGGAGCTCGTAGCAGATGCGGTCTGGCAGTCATAATTTTGAAGTTCAGTCATTGAGTTCGTATTCAGTTTTTGAGACAACTCAATCTTATCTTCACTTCTGCTTCGCCGTTTTTTTAAAAGTTGTTTCTTCTTTATTTCATCTCGTAACAAACTCAGTGGTTTGTCTTCCGAGGGAGAAATTATGGCACTACTATCTGAATGATCTATTATTCCGTTGCTTGTGTTTGTACATTCTGCTGAATAATTCGCATCAACCGGCGGTGCTATTTTGCAGTCCAGCTGCGACTGGCGACGTATATTTCTTGTTAATGATGTATTTGCAACGGGCGGCAATGTAAGGCTAGAATTTCCCTGCAGTTGCGACTGGCGACGTATATTTCTTGTTAATGATGTATTTGCAACGGGCGATAATGTAAGGCTAGAATTTCCCTGCAGTTGCGATTTTGGGACTGTCAATTGTTTTCGTGCCGCTCTCATGATCTTTGCTTTTTCGGCCTACATAAAAGTAAAAGGTTAAATAAGTCAAACTGTGTTCAATGTGTACATACCTACATACATATACATATGTATGCATTTTGACAAATTTTTTACCTTTGTAATGATAATTTTGGCCTCTCTTTGCAGCTCCCAATTACTCATTGCCTTGAACTGTTGATAGAACTCATCCATTATAACGCGCGGCGTGTTTTCGGGACATTTTTTCGACAAGCTTGCCGCGTCAGCAAACAACTTTTCAAAAAATCTTGGGTCCATTTTAAATACATATATTCACTGAAATAATGCAAAAATTGTGCTTTTCTCTTATTCTCTTTACACCGGAGTTTCTTGTGCGCGCAATGTTTGTATTCCGTTAGTACCAGGGCTAAGCAGATATCTTGAGAAAAACATTCGATATTTCGATAAAAAGCTGCGATGACCGTGACTGGTAATACCTTTCGTACAAATTGCACTTAAAAATGCAGTCAGGAAATAATAATGGACTCGTAGGTACATATGGGCCCAAATATGTACTTTAAATACGAATTTTTTATTTGTTGGTGTTTTCTCAAAAATACATAAAATCAATCTAATTATAAATTTCTACATAATAAAAGAAGTCGAAAGTCAAAAATTGTACTAAGTTTAAATATTTGCACAAAAACGCATTCGGCCAATTACATATGTTCCGCTTTTCAGTTGCCCATGCGCCATATGCACAGGGCTGAATCAAGTACATTGCACGTCAAAAAGTTCACATATGCCTTCGTCACTTTTTAGCACAAAATTAAAATCCTCCTGTGGTGGATTTAACTGCACAAGCGGCGGATTTTCTAAGATATTTAAAAACAAAAATTAATAACGCCTGGTTAACGATTCACAAGGAATTATATAGCCTACCTAAGTTTGGATCATCTGGATAAAATCTTCGGAGTGAATGACCAGCCAAATAGTTTTGAAATATGATTTTTGCAGTCAGCTCATTTTCAAGCGCCTTCATTTCATCTTTAAGCTCAGGGTTACAGGAGTACGTGTGCTCGTCTGTGATGACATTACCCGTTCCAGCCGGCGATGTATCACTAGATTGCGAGGACGTCGATGGCGATGGTGTGTCCATACGCCGATAGTCTAGCATTCCTCTTGCTTCGCTGGGCGTTGTTAAGCTTTTGCCTTGAGTTGTTACCAAACGTATGTCAATTGTGCTGCCATTGTCCAAGGAAACACGTAGCTTATCCTATCGTAAAGTTCAAAGATGAAATTGGATGTCTTAATTCTTATATTGGAATCTTACATCACTCCTCTGAATTTCCACTTCTTCGTCATTATTGGGTATTGTAAAAACAGAATTATCTCCATAGATCTTTAAAAGGTCATCACGTGTTAAATATGCATAGGACCGGTTGGTTGGATCTTGCATGATATATTGTAAGTTACGCTGCGCATATTCCAATTCGGTGTCCAGCTCCTCCTCCACCATTTTCAGTTTGCTTGTGCGTTGGCATGCCACTTCATATATCCTTCGGTCCCTTGAATTGTTGAACCCACCGCCACTGTAAACCAATTTCAAGCATAAGACCCAAAGAAATAGCACAAAAAGATTGCGTATAAGTAAACTTACCGCCAGCGAACAATTGAACAGTGGCGGCCTTTATCAATCAAGCCAATGCCCTCTAAAACATTGGTTATATCATAAATACGTCTTTTTTGCACATCTAATATTTTTGTTGCCTGCAATAATAGAGAAATTAATGTGTTCCCATATCACAACCCTTAATGCACATACCTCTTTCAAATCAATCGATCCACCATTCTCTTTCATCAACTCTACAAATTTCTGGGTCAGCAACACTAAAGAGCCTACAGAGCGTTGTGAGGGAGTTGCCAGCGCTTGTTCCTGCTGCGGTTGCTGTTCCTGCCCCCGGTCCAATTCCATGTAGTACGATTCGCAACGCTTTGCATTTGACACTACCACTTCCGCATGCTCGTGCTCTGCATCTGCATCATCTGGCGCACTGCTGCAAGTCGCCTCCGTGTTGGTGTTGTTAACAATACCTACAGATTTGCGTTTATACATTGTACGCACCTAAATGGGAGTCTATAAGCTATAATTGGTATATAATAAAGGTGCTCGAGTCAGTTTAGAGCGTGTTTAGACAGTGAAATAGTCGCGTATTTTTACAATAATTCTCAATTAAATACAAAAGTTGGCGCACACACAATTTTCCGCCATTTGTGTCACTTTTTTCATCCTCACTCTCACTCTGTTCAAGACGATGCCAGACCTTAAAATACTGACAGGGTGGCATTTTAGCACGTATTTTACAGCACTAAATTTAAATTGTCTGAGATTAATATATTATATTTAATTTTCTGCTATCGCCAAAAATAGTTTTAGATACAATTCGGAAAATGTATGCGAGGGGATGTTTTATTCTATATTAAAAAATCAGTTCAATATTTTGCGAAAAATATTCGTTAAACTTTGCTTAATTAAGCTTGGCGGGCGTGTCAGGTCAAGGATATTCCTTCTAACTAAACGAGGAGTTTACTGGAATATTCGTATTACTTCCATTTTGCAATATTCTTTGCTCATCTTTAAGGAATTCTTTTAAATTAAAAGCTGAGAATTCGATTGCACTTTACCAAAATCCAAAATCATAAGGTTTCAGTCAGGAGTCAACAAATCTTTGCTTCCTAAATTCCAACGCACCAAATTTTAATCGAGAAGTATTAAAATTTGTAAAAGAAATTAGTATTAAAAGCGTGTCATAAATGAATACAATGCCATACCCTCAAGCTCGCCTTTAAAGCCAACCCAAGCTCAAAAGGCAGTATGGTTCGGTTCAGCTTTTACTGATAAGCTTATGATTTTTGTAAAGCCTCATTAATGGCGCTAAATCAAAATCCATATTAACATAAATTAGTTTCTTCCAATTTAATTTTTGGTTTATAAACTGCTAGAATTTAGATTGTGAGATTTCGACTGCTCCTCAGTGCTCGTTGGATCTACAATTAGCTCAGGGTCCGCCCGCTGTAAATGCGCTGTTCGCTCTCGCAACTCTTTTAATTGCGTGTCACGAAGCACATCTAAAATTTTCCATTTTGCTTCAAAAAACAATTCATCGCTGGTTGCTTCTAAGTCCATTTTAATAACCTCGCATAGATTAGCAATATGCAAAGCTTTGTTAGTAGCCAAAAAATCGTTTTTAACTTGTAATTCGTAATTGCAGTAAGAATCATATGGCTCTGAAATTGTGGTCACGGTCGTGTTTGTGTCACAATGACCGTGAGATTCTATAATATTCGATATTTCAGCATTTGATTCCGGAAAAGCTTGCGTGTCTTCATGTTTTACTGTAATGTGCCTATACCATTTGGGAGTTTCTGGTGCCCGCTCCACTTCCTCATCAGCCTGTACAGTTTGTTCGCTGCCAGAATGCATGCGATTCGACTTCGAATCATCCTCAGTTTCATTAGAAACTCGATTGAGGAATGCGAAGTCAGGGTAATAGAAGAGCTTTGGTAGGTACAATTCATTGCCACCATCTACGATGGATTTTTGTATGCGTTTTGTTTCAAGCTCCCATCGATTTCGAAGCGAATGAACCTTCCTCTTGACCTGTACAACCGGTACGTTTTCGCCTAAGCCCAACGAGTTAGCAATGTTTTGCCATACATTTTCTTGAAACTCAGCACGTTTGTAGTCTGGGCAATTGGGGTTCCATAGGCATTCATTCTGGCGATATAACTCTATTAGTTTCACCACTGTATCCTTCTGAGCCAGCAGTGTGTGGATTTTCGGTCGCCGATAGCCCGTTATATTAAATGCGTTCTGGCGTCGATGCGGTCGCAATTCCGCATTGGAATCGCGGCGCGAGAAAATGCTCATCAAGCTTTGGCAGTTCTTTTTAACGGTCCCAACGAAACTGGAATTTGACATGACCTTCAACCCAAAATGATTGTGCAGTGCCGATGAGAGAACCTATAATTCACATTTACATGTTTGATTTTGAAAATGTTTGTGAAACGTGTTCTAAGTTTTACTAATTGTGCGAGCCCCAGTGGCTAATAAATCTCCTAAAAACTCCTATTGGACGCTGGGCGAGTTCGGCGTGTGCGCTGTTTATAATATGAATAATTTTTTTTTGCGTTTTTATACACAACGCATCGGGGTATATAGCTAACTCTTCTTTTAAGCTATTGCAAAAGGAATCCAAATTTGATTTTTCTGCTGTCAAAAGCTTTGATTCATTAACAGTTAACGCGGCCGGCAGCTTAGATATTTTTGCAACAGCCGATGATACGAAATTGCTGCTTGCAGGGCATATTTTCGTTTTAGATTTTTTGACAATTGTATCTATTGCATTAGCAATTGTGGGATTACTTTTAGTTTTTTGCACTTCTTCTTCCTATTAAAGTGGTATTGAAAAAATGCATTTGAAAGAATTTCATTATATTACCTCATCCTCTAGTAAAAACAAAAATTCATCAAGAAAGTCAAAAGTCGTATCAAACTTAATCCCCATTTTTTGATACGTTTGCATTCGTTGAAGCTCTTGCACAGCCTGATTTTGTAATAAATGTATTTCAAATTCAACGTCTGATTTGGTCACTTGCGAACCAAACTGATTGGCTATCCACGACCATAGGTTATCTTTCAAATCATGGTTACAATAGTCGGGATGATTTCTGTCCCAAAGGCACTCATGACCACTATAGAATCGTATCAATGTGATTACATTAGGTTTATGGGAAAAAATACTTTTTGAGATGGGCTCAAAGTCACGTTCGTATAGAAAATGGTTCTGATTTTTTCTTTGAGTCCGACGATGGGGACTAACCCTGTTCCTTGTTCTTTTCATCTTGCTGCAGAATTTTGTTTAACTATAAGCCAAATAAGTGAAATTTCCTGGCGTGCTTAGATTTAAATACCTTTATTTTCGATGAACTGTCGCGCCCATGTATCTATAAATGCATTATACAGCACTGCCATCTATCATTTTCGTTTGTTGTGTTCTCATATTTCGGCTGTGTGACAACGTGCAAGCACATCAGTAGGCTCAAATCGTACTGAAAAGAACAAATTTCTTTCTAATAAAACGTTTGAAATGTATGCCAAACACAATAAACCAAAACTTTCGCGGGGCGTGCTTGACATGAAATTCATGCAACGCACAAAAGCCAAGGTTGATAAGGAAGCCGATGACGAACAAGGCCGGGCACTTTATTCCAACGAAATCAGTGGGAATATGCTGAACAGCAATTCCAACTTTATTATAGAGCCTAGCTATTCCATCTGCGAAGGGCTTATTGATGGACGACTTAGTTTTCGTGGCATGAATCCAGAGTTGGAGCGCTTAATGGAGTTGGAGCAAGCAGAGAAACAAGTCAAAACGAAACAAGAACAGCCCAAGGAAGTCTCAGATGTGGAAATGGCTAAGTACATGCAAAGAAAATTCAACGGAAAAAATGATTTCAACAAAAGGAAGCCTAACGCAATATTGAACAATAAGGCCTTTAAACCAAAAAAGCAGAAGCATCATTTTATGAAACCGCGAGAAGACGATGATTCTGGAGAAGCAGAAGCATAATTACTGTCAACAATTTAATGGTGTATATTACAATAGATTTATAAGACTTCTATACAAGCTAACATACATTCATATAAAATGTAAAGTTAATATGATATCCGTTGCTTGACGGCCTGCAGGGCATAACACATTTGTGAGGAGTTTATCCAACGCCAAGTATTGCTCCAAAAGTCATATGTACTGCCATTGATCAGCACAGTGTGACAGTCCACTACATAGAATATAGGAATTAAAAAATATTTTCTTTGTTGATGAATTTGCTTTACTTGTATCCAATATTCGCTGGACATCCAAAGGCGATATCAGTTTATTCCAATGATGCGTGCCTATAGGTGCAATGTTTAGCAGATATTCCCCAAGAACCACGCCGCCCATCCACATGGGCAGGGTTTTGTTTAACGTCGTAATAAATATGGAGCCCCCCGGCTTCAGAGTGCGCACACATGCCTCCAGCAGTGCTGTTTTATCATCCACATGTTCCAATACTTCGGACACTATAACAGCATCATAGTGTTCGCAATTCGAGTTAGCGTGCTGTGCAATTGATTCCATTTTATACTCGACACGGGCACACAATTCCGGACTATGGTCAGACAAATGCTTGCGCGCTGCCTTTATCAGCTCTTCCCCTGGATCTAGGCCAATCACCGTGGCACCCAAACGTGCAAGTTGTTCACTCAATATGCCACCCCCGCATCCTACCTCAAGCAGTTGTTGTTTGCACAATACATTGGTGGTATTTATATAAGGGGCCTCGACACGACCGCGTGAAATAATTCCATCGCGTATGAAAGGAACTCTAGGTGTACTCCAAGATGTTAAAATAAAAGTGGTTAAGACGTGAAGCTCGAATCACCTGATTGCGTTTAGCGCATGCAATGCTGCCATTGGTCCATTAACATTCCACCAATCCTTAGACAAATTTTCATGGTGTTTCACTTCGCTTGCATTTTCTAAAGTGGTGTACTGCTGTTGGGCATTGGATACCTTGCGCACCACCACATTAACCGGAGTTGCCTTAAGATTCCTAAAATAGTTGCTGACTTTTATTATCCCGCAATGTTGCTTTCTTAGCCTTATTACCTGCTAGCAAGCAATGTACGCCGCCACATTTTTATAAAAGTATAATTTAACAGATACTCGAATGATCAAACAAAAGCTATTTGCCGATAACAGTGCTGTAAAGTGTTTTCTGCACTTTGCGGGTAACTTACATAGTACTTTGACGATGTTCATTCCGATTACCGGCGCACAAGAATAAAGTATTTGCAATAAAAAGATAAGAATTGTTTAAGATATTCCTGAAAATAATGCAACAAAAGTTACTGGAAGATGACGATGTTGAATATGCGTCGTACAGGCAACGAAACAATACTACCGCATTGCTTATGTTGCTACTGACTACTTCGTGTTTGCTGTTGTTCTGGACAGCATGCAGAGGGCAAAAGGAGGTGCTGTTAAGAACCGAAGCTATGCGCGATGACAACATATATAACTGCGATCTTCAGCTTGTTGAATCTATACCAATTGGCTTAAATTATTCAGCAAAGAGTCCTAAATTTTTAAGTACTTTTGATGCCTGGAAATTGCTGCTGGATAAAGCCAATAAATCACTTGATCTTGGATCTTTTTACTGGTCACTTCGCGGCGAAGATGTTAATTGTAACGACAGCAGTGCTGCGCTAGGAGAAGAAATATTTAGCCGCCTGCTTCAAAATGCTAATAACCAGGATAACATTAATATACGTATAGCACAAAGTGAACCATCTGACATCTCACCCAATTTGGATACAAAACTGCTCGCTAACTATGGTGCAGCAAAAGTGGTTTCTATAAATTTTCCCAAATACTTTGGCGGTGGTGTCCTGCACACAAAACTCTGGATTGTAGATAATCAGCATTTTTATTTAGGCAGCGCCAACATGGATTGGCGTTCTCTCACGCAAGTTAAGGAGCTTGGCGTGCTCGCACAGAATTGTCCGCAGTTGGCCAGTGATGTTGCAAAGATCTTCAAGGCATACTGGTATTTGGGCAGTGACACCAATGCACCCATACCACATAAATGGCCCTATGAGTATTCTACGAACTACAATGATCAACAACCTATGCACCTTAATCTGAATATGGCCTATGCCATGAATGGGTACATTTCGAATTCACCTCCACCATTGACAGCAGACGGACGTACGCACGATTTGGATGCTATAATAAAAACAATCGAGAATGCAATGGATTTCGTCTATATAGCCGTTATGGACTACTTTCCACTAATCATTTATGGCCCCAAACAACGTTTTTGGCCTTATATTGACAATGCTTTACGCGAGGCAGCTGTTGAGCGTGGTGTAGCAATCAAGATGCTTATTTCCTGGTGGAAACACTCCGATCCAAGTGAAGATAATTTTTTACGCTCGTTGCAGGATCTATCAATGGAAAGAAAACATGTTGATATACAAGTAGTAAGTGGTATATATAATTTTTATTTTTGAAAAGAACACTTTTAATGCTAGTCAATTTTAGCGTCGTTTTATTGTACCGATGGACCCTGACCAAGCGCGAATTCCCTTTGGGCGAGTAAATCATAACAAGTATATGGTGACGGATAGAATCGCCTACATTGGCACCTCCAACTGGTCGGGCGATTATTTCACAGACACTGCTGGAATAGCATTAGTATTGAAGGATACGTTGGCTAGTGCAAAAAACTCGCTGCGACAGGAATTGCAAAACATTTTCGAACGTGACTGGAATAGTCCCTATGCTCATAAATTTTCCTAAATCAAAATTTGAAAAATATACTGTAGTCCATTATAAATAATATGAATTGCTTAATAATAGTTATCATATCGCTTATAATTTATTTTAAAATTTTAGTGCTTCCAATAACCGTAATATAGTAATACCAAAACCACTTTACACAATTGATCTGGCAACGCTGCCAGTTGGTTAAACACGTGCGAATAGATCTATGTTAGTTTGGGCAGGCTACAATAATAATGAAAGTTACAGACAAAAAAGTAAAAATTATGCCTACAAATCCAGGTAACACAAAGCCAAAGCTTAAGCAGAAGAAAACTGCACGGTTGGCCAAATCTATGAAGTCCACACAGATGGCGTCGGTCGACGAGGGTAAAAAAAAAGCGACAACTTCGAAGAAAAAGTCTCTGAATAAAGCGGCGGCAAGCGTAAGCGAAGCTGTCATAAAGAATACCAAAAAAGATATAAAAACTAAAATTGAAAAACCAATACGGAAATCCAATAAGTCACACAAAAATAATTTGGCTGGATTAAAGGATCTAGATCCCGAATTCTATGATTTTCTCAAGAAGAATGACAAAGAGCTGCTTGAATTTAATTTGCTTGAAAGTGATGATGAAGACGACGACAATGAACACGCAGGCGGCGCTGTACAAGTTGAAAATGAGGATGAGGAAGATGATGGAAAATATCACGTGCCCAGTGATAATTTGGCAGTAGCCAGCGATGAGAGCGATTTCGATGATGACGCAAATGATGATGAGACAGGTGACACCGGCTCGCAGAAGATTACGCTGAACTTGCTGCGCCAATGGGAGACACAGTTGTCCAAACCGAATGTTTCAATTGACATTGTGCGCAAGGTTATCGATGCCTTTAATTCGGCACTGGCGAGCATAAGTGCGGATGGTTTTGATGGCGACGGACCTCAACGGGGCAATCGGGCTGGCCATAAAGTTGTAGGTGCCGCCACATTTAATGGAGTGATCCAGCTGTGTGTGCTGCACTTGCAGCCAGCTATTCTTAATGTGCTAGGTGTTAAACCGAACAGTACATTGCCGTTGCATAAGTACAAGAAATGGGTGAAGATTCGCGGTTGTTTGCGGTATTATTTGACTGATTTGATTCGTCTGGTTGAGCAAGTCTCCAGTGCAAACATTTTGAATGTGCTGCTTAAGCATCTGCATCAAATGGCCGGCATGGTGGCACCTTTTAATGCACTGGGCAAGACCATCCTAAAGCGATTGATTGTGCTCTGGTCGACAGGTGATGAAACGGTCCGCGTGCTCGCATTCTTATGCATTCTCAAGATTACACGGAAGCAACAGGTGAGTGAGAGCAAGATGAAACATTTAAAATGCATCCAATATACTGGGTTTGCATATTTCAGGTCACAATGTTGAATCATGTGCTGAAGGCCATGTATCTGGCCTATGTGCGGAATTCGAAGTTCGTCTCGCCGAACACCTTGCCCGGCATTAACTTTATGCGTCGATCACTGGTTGAAATGTTTGCTCTGGATTTGAATGTAAGCTATCAACACGCGTTTCTCTACATCCGACAATTGGCCATCCATTTAAGGAATGCCGTTATATTGAAGAAGAAGGATAGCTTCCAAGCGATTTATAATTGGCAATATATCAACTCATTATGTCTGTGGGCGGATTTATTGGGCGCTACAAGCAACAAGGCGCAATTGCAACCACTAGTCTATCCACTGGTCACTATTACAACTGGTGTCATACGCCTCATACCGACTGCTCAGTACTTCCCATTGCGTTTCCATTGCCTGCAGGCGCTTATTACATTGGCCACTGAGACAAATATTTATATACCTGTGCTCCCATTGATTATTGAAGTGCTGAAAAGTAACACATTTAATAAGAAGCATACTGCTGTCTCAATGCGTCCGGTGCAATTCACCTGTATATTGCGATTAAATAAGGCACAGCTATCCGAAAATGGTTTTCGGGATGAGGTCATTGATCAGGTGTGCACTTTGCTCCTTCAATATTTGGCACACGAGTCTGCATCATTGGCCTTTAGTGATTTGGTGGTGCCCACAGTCGTGGCTATCAAAGCTTATCTTAAAGAGTGTCGCAATCCGAACTACTCACGCAAGTTAAAGCAACTTCTGGACAAGATTCAAGAGAATGGACGCTTTATCGAGCAGGAGCGTAGTAAGAGCAATGTAACCATCGATTTGAAAGATGCCAAAGCGGTGCAGGCTTGGGAACAACAGGTTCGCAATAAGCGAACTCCTCTTGATATCTATTATGCGAGCTGGCAAAAAATGCACGAAACCAAGAAACGTCGCCAGGCAGCACAAACTGACGACATTAATGATGATTGTGGTGTGCCCAAGCTGAAACGTCCCGCAATGAACAAGAGTGCTCCCTTGCGCAATGAGCGTGGAGAAGTTGAATTGTTTCCCTCGGACTCTGAAGGAGAAATAACAGCCGATGAAACAGAACAAACGAAACCCCAACAGCAGAAGAAAAAGACCGAAAAGCCGGAGAAAAAGAAGAAGGAAAGCAAGAATGTGCTCTCCGCTGTGGAGCCAGAAGATGATTTGGACGATTCTGGCGCTGCTGTGGACATAGTTAAAGATTTAGATATGAATGAATGGTAAATGAAATACCGAAAATTAATAACTATAAATATATTTGATTTTTAATATTAATATAAGTCATAATTATTTTTTATTTTTCTGTTGGATCCTTTCCGGGCACAATTTCATACTCCTTATACTTTGGGTAGGTGCCAATGCTTTCACCTTCCACCTGTTTGGGTAATGCCTTATCGTCCTTGCCCTTGGCATATTGTGCATCCAATTCGGCCGCATTTCGTTTTTTCATGTCCATTATCTGTAGGTTTTTGACCAATTCTTCTCGTGTCGGGGGATCCACTCGACGCCCACGCAGCCACGCCTCCCACTCGGCCGTCAGTTCATTGTCAAAAGCGTCCTTATCTGCCGGTTCGAACCAGCGAGAAGCCTTGCGTTTTCCAATCGCTGGATTTGCCGGAATCTCGAAATATTTATTGCCAAAATAATCTTCACCAATGTAATTGCCACGGAACTGTCGCGGTCGAAGGGATTTACAAAAGTTTTTCCAAATAATGCCGAGAATATCACGCGACGGCTTGTTGGCCATAATTTATTTTGTTAGCTATTTTTTTGTGTATTTTCGTGAGTTTAAGGTTAGGTTGAAGCTTTGTTATGACATTATCAGCTGTAAAAAGGCAGTGTTGATTAATGTAAATTGGGTGCTTTGATGGCGGTTTAAATTTAAATTTGCAGATTTCGTTTCAGCGCTAAAGAATACGGGCTGTACCAGTCACGCATAAAGAGTTTGAAGAGGTCAGTACGTATTGTGCTTTCAATCAAGGTTGTGTCTGCTAAGACTAAACCAATGCCAGCGGAATGCATAAAAAACTCTCCCGTCCAGTTCGACGCGCCAATGTATGCAATTTTATCGCTGACCATAAAACTATTATGGCTGAAGCGTATTAACGGTATTTGTTCCAGCTCATCATTCACAGGCACAATAAAACGACGCTGTAATATAAAATAAGGAATGACTTGGATTAGGTCTATGGTACTGCATTTAAAATCTTTATATAAAATAGTAATGTTTATCTATATATCTGTGTCTCTATCCTTTACGATATACGACCAGTTCGTTGATTAATGAAATTGGTAAATATGACTTGCCAATTTTGTATACTTGTACTTACGATCTGTATATCCACATGCTGCATTACTTGGGAAAACTCCTGTAATGAGCGTAGAAAGTTATCTTCACTCGGGTGGGAATTTGGCCACCAGGATACAAGCATTTTTATTGCCACACCACGATCCACGGCTGCCCTGCGCAAAGCGTTATCAATTGGGGGCCAGAACTGAACGTTGGGACCATTGATAATAAGAGGGAAGTAGTCCATGACAGCAATATTGATAAATTCTGCTGCAGATTCGATAACATTTAATATGGCATCCAAATCGTGGGTGCGCCCTGTAGTTGTCAAAGCTACTGGCGTACTTGAAATGTAGGCTTGCATTGTGTAGTTTTTGTTAACATTCAAAAGCATGGGCCGACCCAACCTGTATCGCGTGTCAAATGTCCAATGCCATTGGCTGGGTATGGTCCCATCACCATTGCTGCCCAGCTCCCAGTACGCATTAAAAATCTTTCCCACATCGTGGGCCAAATGTGGACAATTCTGTGCCAGAACGCCCAGCTCTTTAACCTGCGTAAGAGAACGCCAATCCATATTTGCACTGCCCAAATAGAAGTGCTGACCGTCTACAATCCAAAGTTTCGCATTCAGCACGCCTGCATTAGGTAACTTAACAGCAACCACCTCGGCAGCATCATAGTTAGCTAATATTTTGGCATCTGCGTGCAAAATGCTCTCCTGGCTCTTGTTCATTGCGATGCGGATACGAAGCTTGGGCTTGCCCCCATCACCATTTGCAAGAAGGCGATGAAATATATGGTCACCCGGTTGGGTGCTGCTGTCATTTACATCGATGCCACGCAAAGTCCAATAAGGAGCAGCAATGTCAACCGTTAATTTCGCTTTGTCCAGCAGCAGTTTCCAGGCCTCATACGTGCCCATAAATTTTGGGCTGTTCTGCGTGTAACTCAGGCCAATCGGTAATGTTTCCACCAATTGTAGTTCACAGGGCAACGGCGCTGGCACAGCTTTGTTGTTGTCAGTGCCGTCACCAGCGTTGCGATGCAAGGTTTCCAAGGGCAATAGTAGCACAATCAGCACCAGTACAAATAATATGATTATGGGTATCATATAACTGTGGGCACAACAGAGTCCTTTATTCCGTTGACCATGCTGCGCTACATTAAAGCAATTTGGACGTCTGCAACATGCGTTTCTATCTTGATTGATAATTTCATCCGCTAGATGATTTCCAACCGGTTGATAATCCGTTGGAATTTCCATATCACTTTGTTCGAGTCGCTTCGACATTGACTCCAACTCGACTGTGGCTGCGTCCACCCATTTCGAAAAATGTTTACCCCCAACATAATGCCTAGCTGTTTAATTATTCTTACAGCTGTAGTTAATGGCCATTGACTCCACCCCACCAAGGCCTTGCAATCACTTTAAACACCCACGCAAACAAAAACAGAAGGACAGTGTTGATAAATTTTAGCCTGTTTCTATCGATTACACATAGCCCAATCGCCAGCATATGCAGTCAGTCTGTGTTAGAATCTTCCAGCCTGAGGAGGGCTGAAAATTTTAATGTACGGCGTATACATAGGCTTTTAGTTTAATTTCAGTTTTCGACCAAATTTTGTGAAGTGTTTATATAGAGGACACGTTCAAACAAATTCCGCGAAAATATGGCGTCGAGATTAATGAAGGCACAGGTAGGCCTTAATTTTGCTGCAGCTTTCATCAACGTAACAGTGTTTGCTCCACTGATGGCAGTTTTGTGCGACAAAAATCTTAACAAAGAATATTCATTGCTGTGCTGATACTGTGAGCTTCATTCACAACACAAAAACTCAAAAATTTGGAATTAAAACGAATGTACAGGACATTTGTTCACTTAATTGTCATTTTCTTCAAAGCATTTTCCTAACCTCAAACTAATTGAACAGTTGTTACCTAACCACCGAGAGGCAGTGGCCCCGGCCCCCCCAAATATTTATTTGTTCCTATTCTTTACAACAATTGATTCATCTAAAGTGTTCTATTGGATGTAGGCTTGTCTTAATGGGAGGATTAGCTGTAACAAGTAGTTTTTGTTTTCACACTTAGAATGGCTTTTTCAGAATTTGTACAAACATATTTCGTAACGAATTATTTAATGAGTAGACAGACACTGCTTCATAATAAACATCTTGCATAGCTTATCACTGACAGTTTTATGGAAAAAGTATTATTTAAGATAGCACCCGACTTGATAAAGACTACCGATTTTTTTTTTTACCCGAACCCAATTTTGTTAGACCTTTATAACCGTTTTTAAAGCTTACCGCCGTGGCTTGTAGTTAGTGTCATTTATCGTGGCGGATGCTAAATGAGGGTAACTCGTCATAATCCATACACCTGTCTGCTTATCAACAAATTTTCTAACAAGCTAATGACCCTTTACGCAGTTTATTTTGGTTAGGCACTTTTGTATCAGTGTGCTTATCACGTGCTACGTCTATTGTAAATACATATGTATGTAAATATATATGTATGTATGCATATACATATGTATGTTTAAATTTGCTGCACTTGCGCTTTTTTGTTGTACCCTTCACAAAGGGCATTTGATTGGCAACTATTTTGCATCGCCATCATTGCAGCGGGTCCTTTCAGAAGTGTTATGCCCTGATAATTCCTTCCCAGAACGAAAATCGTTATTGGCATAGTGCAGCACCGCTGATAACACTAGTCAATCAAGTAAATATTACGCGTGATATGTTAATCAAGCACTCAAATTCTTCACACATACTGAGTCGACATACTGTACTCGTATGCAAATATACATATACGATATATGTTTGTGCCAATAACACTGTAAAAAAATATTTTTTACGAACCTATATGGTAATATGTTGCGCAGTCTTTATACCGAAAAACACAATTAGTTTTTAAATTCATAATAATTGTGTAATGCCTAATTTATTCTGTTGCATTTTCAGAATATTTTACTTTTGAATAATATTAATAATTAATTAATGAGGTAGAGTTAATTAATTTGTCGTCATATACGATTTTCATTATTTTTGTAACACTTTTTGTTAACAATATTTCATAAAATACTAAACTGTATTATATTTTCGCAATAAAATTTTTTAGGTGTGCAAACTGGGCAAACATGCAGTTGATCCCATGGTGCGCCAATTTCATGCCTCCTGTTATACTGCTTCCAAGGTAGCGCTTTCCAAATTCGATACGGATGTCTACTTGCCCTACGAAAAGCTAAACCAGCGCTTGGATATTGTCCGTAGTCGCTTAAATCGCCCATTATCGCTTTCCGAGAAGGTACTCTACTCGCATTTGGATGATCCCAAAAACCAGGAAATTGTGCGCGGTACCTCCTATTTACGTCTACGTCCCGATCGCGTGGCTATGCAGGATGCCACCGCTCAAATGGCTTTGCTGCAGTTCATTTCGTCAGGTCTGAAGAAAGTTGCTGTGCCCTCGACCGTGCATTGTGATCACTTGATTGAGGCACAAATCGGCGGTGTAAAGGACTTGGCGCGTGCCAAGGATCTAAACCGCGAGGTTTACGAATTCTTGGCCAGCACCTGCGCCAAGTATGGCTTGGGTTTCTGGAAACCTGGTAGCGGCATCATTCATCAGATCATTCTGGAGAACTATGCCTTCCCCGGCCTATTGATGATTGGCACGGACTCGCACACTCCCAACGGTGGTGGTTTAGGTGGCTTGTGTATTGGTGTTGGTGGTGCCGATGCCGTAGATGTTATGGCTGATATTCCATGGGAGTTGAAGTGCCCCAAGGTCATTGGTGTTAATCTTACTGGCAAGATCAGTGGCTGGACTTCGCCCAAGGATGTAATCCTAAAGGTTGCCGACATATTGACTGTAAAGGGCGGTACTGGTGCCATTATTGAGTATCATGGCAAAGGTGTGGACTCCATTTCTTGTACCGGAATGGCCACTATTTGTAATATGGGTGCTGAGATTGGTGCCACAACATCTTTGTTCCCCTTCAATCAACGCATGGCCGATTACTTGAAGTCCACAGGACGTGGCGGCATTGCTGCTGAGGCCCAAAAGTACCAAACAAAAATATTAAGCGCTGATGGCAATTGCGAATATGACCAACTGATTGAAATCAATTTGGATACGTTGGAACCACATGTGAATGGTCCATTTACCCCCGATTTGGCTCATCCTATTAGCAAATTGGGTGAAAATTCAAAGAAGAATGGGTATCCCATGGATATTAAGGTTGGTCTGATTGGCTCCTGCACTAATTCATCTTACGAGGATATGGGTCGCTGTGCCAGCATTGCCAATGATGCCATGAGTCATGGCCTTAAATCGAAGATTCCCTTCAATGTTACTCCCGGCTCGGAGCAAATTCGTGCCACCATTGAACGCGATGGCATCTCTCAAGTATTCGATAAGTTTGGCGGAACTGTGCTGGCTAACGCTTGTGGTCCTTGCATTGGTCAGTGGGATCGTCAAGACGTTAAGAAGGGCGACAAGAATACCATTGTCACATCGTACAATCGAAACTTCACGGGCCGCAACGATGCCAATCCCGCCACGCACTGCTTTGTCACCAGCCCTGAAATGGTCACAGCTTTGTCAATTGCAGGTCGTTTGGACTTCAACCCACTCACAGATGAGTTGACTGGCTCCGATGGCAAAAAGTTTAAACTTAAGGCACCCTTTGGCGATGAGTTGCCCTCCAAGGGTTTCGATCCTGGCCAGGATACGTACACTGCTCCCCCTCCTGTAAGTAAAGATCATCCAATAGAAAAAGATATACGGCAATGGTAACGCATTTCTATCATCACAGAGCGGCGAGAAACTAAAAGTTGTAGTCGATCCAAAATCACAGCGCCTGCAGCTCTTGGAACCCTTCGACAAGTGGGATGGCAAAGATCTGAAGGACTTGACTGTGCTTATTAAGGTCAAAGGCAAGTGCACCACTGATCACATCTCAGCTGCCGGTCCTTGGTTGAAATATCGCGGTCATTTGGATAACATCTCAAACAATATGTTTATTGGTGCCACCAACTACGAAAACAACGAGATGAATAAGATCAAGAACCAGCGTACTGGTGACTGGAATGGCGTTCCCGAAGTGGCCCGCGACTACAAAGCCAATAATATCAAGTGGGTGGCTGTCGGTGATGACAACTACGGCGAGGGTTCGTCTCGCGAGCACGCCGCACTGGAACCCCGACATCTTGGTGGACGCGCCATTATTGTAAAGTCGTTTGCACGCATCCATGAAACTAACTTGAAGAAGCAGGGTCTGCTACCGTTGACTTTTGCAAATCCTTCCGATTACGACAAGGTACGAATTGAGAAAAAGCACTGATAATATATTAATGACATTACTACATGACTACATTTGCAGATCCAACCTACAAGTAAAATATCTCTGCTTGGTCTGAAAGGCTTGGCCCCCGGCAAACCCGTCGATTGCGAAGTGAAGAACGGCGACAAAGTTGACAAAATCAAGCTGAATCATACATTGAATGAGCAGCAAATCGCATGGTTCCAGGCCGGCAGCGCATTGAACCGCATGAAGGAGTTGGCCAAATAAATACGCTATATTTACTTAGTCCCTGAACCAATCCCCGCCTCCCACATACACAAAAACACTAACACTAACGACTTAAACGCAAGCAATCATTTATGGTATTGTTATTCAATTTTTTCGAATTGTTTTTGATTTTATGAAGAGTGTAAAGTGCTTATTATTATTATTATGGAATGTAAAGTTTTAAAAAAGAAGATGGCACGAAATTGTGAATGTTTTATATACATGCATATAAATTATATACTTTACGTATTTTAATTGTGTAATCTATTTTTATTTGTGAATTTTTCGGTTTTATCCACTGGCTGTCATATACAAAACTCAAACTCATGCTGCTGACGATGATGTGCGAATAAAAATTATAGTAAAGGTGAAAACACTGTATTTTTCATGTACCATTTAAAATAGCTCAAATAGCTCCCCTGCTCTTTTATGGTAAACCCCAAGTAAATGTTGAAGTTATTGTCAAATAAAAGTAAACATTGATTATTGAATAAATAGGAACTTAAAAACTACATTTGAAATCGTAATAAGTCATAGAGATAATTATGTACGGTGCATGAGGCTAAATGCAGAGCCCCTAAACAGTAGCCCCTAAAACTGCTGTCAACATCCAAATTAAAATCAAAATTCTAAAAAAAAATATTACAAAATTTATACCAAACAAAATGGACCAGGAGCCGCAAAGCATCATTTTATTTCCGACCACCGAAATACTGGCATCAACGCACAGAATGAGACGTTACATAAAACTTATCGACCTCTATGAGAAGCATGAGTGTTTATGGAATCAGTTCTCAAAAGATTTCTTTAACTTCGAGTTAAGAAATAAAATATGGTCAGAAATTGCAGAGCAAATGAAAAAAAACTCATCACCAGATACATGGAAATGTATTTTACATTCCTTGCGCTACAATGTAGAGATAGAACGTTTGCGTGAGCAGGAGGCGTCCTTCTATAACATGCGAGTCGAGTTGGCGCCAAAATTAGTTTATGCCGAAAAGTTTAAGTTTTTGAAACGGATGTATATGGGCGGACATGCGACAATGAAAGTGCCAGTAAGTACAATAAATGGGACACAATTTTGATACTACTATCAACTTTTTGATTTTTCTCATACATATAAATGTATTTTGGAATTTATTATTTGAATTCTCGTAACGATCCAATGAACTCCATTTTAAATAATGCTTGAGAATTGTTTCGGACAAAGCAAAATGAACGCAGAATTTTGTCCCATTCCGAATTGTATTGTTCTCCATGTTAACTTAAAAATAATTGAAATATATGTATGTCCTAGCATGTATTAGTTCGCAGACCAGCGGTGGGTAATGGGGAAATCCTGAATCGCAAGAAGGAAGTACGTGAATCCTACTACACTAGCAAGTTGAAATCGTTAGAATCTTTGCGCAATTCCCGATCAAGTTTACTTTGCTTAACCCCTGAGACCTATCGCAAACTGAATATGTCCAGTGCTGACGTGGCGGCATAGATCTAGAGGCTGCCTAAGAGATTTATAACTTCTTTTTAGCGCATTTGGTAATATATTTTTTCATTTTATTATGTTTTTATCATTTATCTTTTGTTTTTGCCATTTAAATATAGTAAAACTTTTTATAACAATTCATAATTTTAGCTTACAATATTTTCGTGTTCCTATTTTAATTTTAATTTTGCAAACACACATGCCTTTTTTCGAAAACACTTTCTTTTGCGAATATACAACTTTCAGAACTTGGTTTTGTTTTTTGTTTTATGTATATATATATATTTTGTTGTTGTTGTGTATAACTAAAAAATGCGTAAAATATAATTTTTTTATTCGCTTTCGGGTTGTGATTTCCAATTCCTTTTCATAAAAGGAACAAAACGAAATACGCCTTATGAATTTTAATTTTGTATAATATATATTTAGCATATTTGTTGCCTTATGGGTTTTTCATTTGTTATTTCAAAACGTTAGCAACTGTGCAACCCCACAGTGCACACACAATAGATCTGTACGTTCATATACATGCATATATATAAACCTGAATTATTTTAAAAGCGGCACTAATTTTACATACATATCGATCCAATAATTTGAGCTTTCCTTGGCTAGCGCTACCTTATGGGTGCCACAATAGGCTGCCGCTCAATGCTCGTGTAAAGCGACACCCACTATTGTCCCATGCGTTTATATCTATGGATGTCGTCGTCATCACCATCGGCTTGCATGCATTTTATTGTTGTTGTTATCTGTTTGAAATGGCTGTTGATTATTTTGGTTTGAGCGCATCATTCCCATTCTGTGGTGCCGGGCGGTTTTGCGGTTAAATCGTATAGTACCCTCGAGATTCCATCCAATTTGGATATATCCCTCACTATTTGATTAAGGACCTGAAACGGAACGACGGTGTAAATATTGATGTTGCTGCTTATTTAAGTTATTTCGTTTACATAGAAAATAGGATCGTTGGCAACAGTGCATGTTATGTAGACGATTATAGGATACAAATGCGAAAAATTATATGAAAAACAAGAATCTTCGTAAGCTTCGACTTCCATAGCTTATATACCGTTCTCACTTATCAATTTCATTTAAACTCATCCTTTCTGATAGTTACAAGAAACCAAATAAAATTTGTTTATATTGTAGTAAAACCGAAGAATCTAGTTTGCGTTATAACAGAGGCAGATATGATTATATCATTTATATATCTCTAACATTGAATCTGCTACGCCACCTATGGGTGTAATAAACATCGTAGCCCCTAACAGGTGGTTCATATGGTTTTCTAAAATTCTAAATTCTCGCTTGACTTACTTGCAATGGCAGTTGCACAGAACCAGGCACAGCTGGCACACCAGTCATGAAATCATTTGTTATAAAGGGACGCAACACCACGGATCTTCGACACGACGGCGTACGATTTATTGGATCACGATCAAAATGTACTGGTATAAGCACAACAGGCATCTGTGAAATTTTACGATACAGACCAGCTTGCATAATAATCTGTAATTAAAAAATGTATTTAAATTAATATCGATACAGGTAACAAAATATTTACTAAATCGAAACTTATAAAAAATTCAATTTGTTATATTGTTTTAATAGTGGTGTCAAAAAATGTCGAGATGGTCCCTAGATTAATATTAGGGGAAGCAGATAAAACAGCAAAAATACGAAACTCACCTCATTGGCAATTGCATCCGCTTGGCGTAGCTGCGCCAACACCACAGTATTGAGTGTCGTATGCGTTATATCGGTTACCAGATACTGCACGGGATCACCGAAGATATAGCAAACTCTATTTACATTGTGTAAAATGCGCGGTATGATTTTCGCTAAGAATAACAGATCCGTCCAATTGGGTTCCTGACTCGTTGATAGACCAACAACATAGCTGTAGGTGCGCTTATCACCTATGTGTGAATTATAACGAATAACTAATTGTTTGCAATAATAGGCAAGCTTACTCTTACCTTGCACACCCACCGAGCGCACAGGCAGCAATGTGGCTTGGATTTGTGTATTTGTTGAAATGCGTATGAGTTCCTTTTGTTCGGCTTCATTGGTAGCGCCCGTAACACGATTGATGAGTGCATGATTTTTCTGTAGTTTGTTTTTGTAGTCCACTATTACACGAACTATGACCTATCGGGATGAAAATATTAGTATAAAACTTGAGGTCATGCATCAGACCTTTGTGTACAACATACCTGTGTTTCTGAATAGTCTTTCTCCATGTAAGCCTCCTCAGCACAAAGTACTCGAATTGCTAGACCAGGTCCCGGAAATGGTTGCCTTTCTACTAGCTCCGCTGGTAAGCCCAAATCATTGCCAAGATCCCGTACTTCGTCCTTATGGAAATCGCACAGTGGCTCGACAACGCGCCCTGCATTCCGCAGTTCTCTGAAAAACGAAATTATAAAGCGCTTGCTAAACTCTTACATGATGTCGATTATCGAGCCATTATTGCAAGGTACCGACATTTGGGAACACTAAAGACAGTGCCAAGTACTTCATATTACCTTATCAGATCTGTGTCATTGTGATGCGTCTTGATCGTTTCGGCATTCATGCTAACCATATTTGAGGCGGACTCTATTAGATCGGGTCGTAGGGTACCCTGAGCCAGCAAAACCTCTTCGGGTTTCAATTTTAGCTCGGCTACCACATCATTGGTCACTTTTACGAATATATCACCAATTATCTTGCGTTTTTCTTCGGGGTTGTATGTCTGGCATAGCATGGGCGTTTCAACCACCGAATACTGTCCAGGCCTTTTCACTTGCGTGGTGCCTTTGAGGAACGTGTAGCTTTCTTTACGAACTATCAAATCTATGCCAATTTCTCGCAAGGAACGCTCCACCTTTTCACTTTCGTTTTTTCGCATGAAACCTATAATGTGTACGAATAATTTACTGAATTGAAATTGAAAAATTTTTATATATTTTACCATTATCCACATGCACCGCTATAATTTGGCCAGGATGTAAGGCGCGTCTTAAAAGCGCAGCACACACACTGGAATCGACGCCGCCGCTGACCAGCAACTGTTATAACAAAATATAATTTCGCATTAAGACTGTACTGTTTCTCAGGTTAAATGGCTAAGTGGTTAAAATAACGTTCCAATAGATTATGTTCAAGTTGCACTTTAGAACTTTTGAAAAATAAGAGCTATTGAGATCTGACATTAAAAAATTGGGTATTTAAAAGTAATGCATTCACATTAACAAATTAAATGCAAGTATAATATACTATATGTATCTGACAGACCAGATAATGCTATACCAACACACAGTACAGAAAATTTTAAAATTCAAGAATATCATATCCAAATTATAGTTTTAAAGGATATCAAAATAAAATAAGTACGTGAAGGAGAAGGCTCTTATATGTTAACAGAGACACTTTTCAATTAAGGCTAACCTCAATAGGAGGAAACAAATATTCTTTATTTTATTTAACTTACCAGTACTTTATTGTTGCCCACTTTCTCTCTAATATAGCGTATGCATTCCTCTTTTCGACTACCCATGGTAAAATTCGGCGTCAATTCACAGATATCATAGAGAAAATTCGATAGCATCTGTTTTCCATTGATTGTTAAGTCGACTTCCGGATGGAATTGTACACCATAAATGCGCAGCACTTCATTATAAATGGCGGTGACAATTCGATTCGTTGACCAGCCCCCTACTTTAAGTTTTTCACCAACACGCTCTACACTATCGCCATGTGTAAGTAACACGGATTGAGTGCGACTGAGGCGGCTGTGGAAATGTATATATGAAATAAATATATTTAATGCATGTTTATAAAGTAATTAAGTAAAGTTTGAGATTGTGTTATTATAATATCATGCCATGTGTAGCTCAATTTTTAGACTTCACTAAATTGAAGTGCTCGTGGCATGTTGTGTTTTCTCTAGCAGCATTGTATCAGTGCTCAGATAAGCTTATCAGCTAACCACTTTCTTTTTACTGCCAAGGATTCAAACTATAATATGCCTAAGTTTTCTAGATATTGTCTTAGAGTCATTTAAATCAGAACTAACAGAAAGGGGTATTCGTTTCGACTCTAAAGACATTAGTTTAAATCATTTGTTTATAAATGTAAACAATCTCATAATTGAAACATATCGAAATTGAAATTAGCCTTTGACCTCACCTGAACAACGGACACGATGTTTCAATTTCTATGCTTTGCTGACCATCCTCGCGTACATCCGTCTTGAGTACGGTTCCGCCGAATTCCTTATTAATCAGCTGCATGCCATAGCAAATGCCTAGCATAGGTATTTTCAGCTTAAATAAGTCGGGATCATAAGAGGGCGCATCTTCGGCATATACTGAGTTGGGTCCGCCGGAAATTATGATTCCGCGATAGCCATGATCGCGTATCGTCGATGCTGGCGTATCTAGAGGCAGGATATCCGATTCAACGAGCAATTCACGCACTTTACGATCGATAACCTGTCGGAGAATGCGATTTGTGAATATTGTAATTGTGCTTTTGGATATCACAACTTACCTTGCCGTACTGTGCACCAGCATCGAGTATAACAATTTTATCGTGTCGCAGACCATTTTCTGCTGTTGTTAGAAATAGATTTGAAGACATATCTTTATCGTTGCAGCACTGAAACAAACAAAACAGTTTTAAAGCAATATTAACAAAATTAAATGCATTGTACTTCAAATGCGGGTTTGGCTAATCCAATACTAGCAACGCCACCCATAAAGCGTTTATTGGGCTGTCTTGACTTGACTGTAAACCATGTGGGTAGATGTACAAGACTAACCACATTGCGCGATGTTTAAGGCATATTTATTGCTAGTAAGCAAAATACCCAGCTTTGGTGTAGTAATTGTAGCTTATGTTTCAGGGTCAAGAGTTGGCAAAGATAACTGATGCGTTAAGCCAGAATCCACTAACTAAGGAGTTTTCGGGTTTTTTTTTTTGTTTTTTTAATTGAAGACCAAGTTTATTTTGTAAATTTATAAAATATGAGAATTTTGAATACATGTATCCTCAGGTTACCAAGATTCCTAAAGGATAATTCGGAAAATATCATTTTATGCACTTGGGCTTCGTATATATTGGATAAAGCGGATCTGTAATAAGCATAAAAAGCATTGCCAATAATATCATACTTTTGTGCATGTAGGGAGCTCGATTTGTCAGCAACAACAAGAACGTACCGGCAATACTTTGAAGAACACACGTAGAAACATTCAACATGCAGAGAAGCGAGGCAGGCAGCGCGTTCTTTATAGTACAAGTAGTTTGGTTTGGATTGTCGTTTGCAAGTGTGTGGTTGAAACGGATTAGGCAGATTGCACGTGCGTGTGTGTTTGAGTGTTTGTTGTTTTTGTGTTTTACAGCGACACCACCACGTATAGTCTCTCGTATCGACAATTCTACGATAGACAACAAACATTACTTTTTTTGTTTTTGATTATTTGATCAGCATCATGTTTTAAAGGTAAATGCACGCATGAGCAACAAATTGCGAAAAGGTTAAAAGGCGACGCCTATGAACTTTCTGTGTGGCACAATGACATGAATATACATATATATTTTTTGTGTCGATGAGTGGGTGGTGCGTAGCAGCATGTGTGTGTTGGCTTCCGTATGCGAAACCGGCAGCGTTATCGAGTTTACAAAGAGTTCACTCCGCACACTTATTTTTTCGCAATATAAATAATTTGCTGTAAGTAATAGTAAGGGCTGCTTGGAAGAGGCGGGCGGATAATGCAACCGGCTGCTGAATAAGACAGATGACATGCAGAATGCAAAAGCAAAGCGTGTGGGTAAGGAAAAAGCAGGCAAATAAGAGGTTGACAGTCATCAGCAGGCCAAATGAAAATTCAAAACACACGCAGAGATGAAAATGTCGAGCCATGAAAATGAGCAAAGAAAAGTGCAGAAAAAACAACACGAATTGCAATTGCCTTAGTGCTGGCGAATGTGGCAACTCTATATTCCATTTCGAACCTGGCTAGCGCATTGGGTCAATTATTGGGCTGCTGGCCCTGCAATTTGGGGCTCTGTTGGTTAAATAGGGGCATGTACTTGTAGGTAAGGCGTGATGTAAGCAATTCTTGATTTCGAGAAAAACATTGCACTCACTTTAGCTTTGAGGTTGATAAAGCCACAATAAAAATATCAATGCTGTCCGCATTAAAGGTTATCAACAAAACAGCAACAGCAACATCAACAAAAACAACACAAACGCGTGTAATTTAATATGCGCCTTATGAACACACGTGGAACATTAATATGTATGTATGTAAGCGTATGTATCTAGGCCATTGTTATAGCTCCAGCTTCTAACCACAAAATGGGTATGATTTCACTAATACAATATTGTTCAACTAATTGTATTTTTACGCACTTTTATATGTGCATGTGTGGGTGCTGGTGTTGGGCAAAACGCCTCCGCGCACACCCCATTATAGCAAGTTGTATGTTGGTGGCAAAGCGGTGATAGCCATTTTTTGCTGCAGCAACTTACCGTGCGCAGTAGTGGAGCCTTAAAGTCGTAGTAATAATAGTAAAAAACTTTATGCTTATACACTAAGTTTGCTTCCGTATTTTGATGGCTTGTACTCGAAACTGAATTTGCACTTTTTTTATGAATCTGCCATCAGCAGAGCAGCGCGTCCGGCGCGAGTACGATATTTGCAAATTTTCGATCGCTTTGATGATTGCAAAACGTTGCGCGTGTTTTCTTTTGGTGAGATGGGTTTTTGGTTTATTTCGGGCGGCACGTAAGCGACAATTTAGCACTATTTAGCTATTTATTTTTACGCTGCCACTACTTTCTGCAATCTTTTCGTGAAATAATGCCGAAAGATGTCATATTCACGCTAGTGATGAACGACAGTCACAAACGCTTATCGATTGTCACAATTGTGTGCGCAGCCCTGTAGGCCAGTGCTATAGAATTTTAGAAAATGGGAGTGATGTTTTTTTAACACTGGACGGCTGGCCCGCCAAAAGTATATTTATTGTTCCCGCCTGGATTCTCTCGAATATTGTATTAAGTTAACAGAACGATTGAAAATAAAAAGTAATGAGTGCAGGTGCCAACGTATCACAGAGTGAACTTTCAATAGATGATGAAGCTGAGATATTGGCGCTGGAGAAGTTGTTGGGCAGCGTGGAGGAGGACCACAATGCCACTAATGCAGGAGCGTCAACCACTGCTTCAAATGGACGATCACAAAGTGGCAAGAAAACACCTACGATTGAGACTGCAGTGCCACTTTTACGAGAAGATAGTAATTTCGCACAGGCTTTTAGTTATGAGGTAAACGTTAAGCCTAAAAAAGCTGTGGCAAAGCCATCGGAACCAGAACTTGATTCGTCTGACGATGAGGAAGTGAAGAACTTCTTGGAAAGAAAATACAATGAGTATGGCAGCGATATAAATAAAAAATTAAAACAGCAGCGAGATAGTGAACATGAGTCTAAAGTCACACGGGAGGTGAATGCGGCCTTAAAAACAACAAAATTCGCGGAGTCCACGCCACAAGCAGAGGCGAAACATATAAAAAACCCACACAATCCTATTAAGAGACAGGCATGGACAAGCAACTCGTTCCTAAAAGTTGCTCCTACATCCACAGACGTTGTGGCACCCAGCTTAAGTCAGCACCAAACACCACAAGCAGCGATATATACTGATCCCGTTTTTGGGTTGCGTATGATCAACCCACTGATTTCAAGCTCGCTGCTGCAAGAGCGTATGTCTGGTCGTAAGGCGGTACCGTTTAGTGGCGTCCCTTTTCACATAGAACGCGGAGATCTCTCCAAAGACTGGGTTATAGCCGGGGTATTAGTGAGCAAGCAACCGGTGCGCAATACAAAGAAAGGCGATGCCTACTCCACATGGCGCATGTCCGATTTGCGCGGCGAGATGAAGACGATTTCGCTTTTTCTCTTCAGAGATGCGCACAAATCCTTATGGAAGACCGCAGAAGGTGTGTGTGTGGCCGTTCTAAATCCTACGATATTTGAGAGGCGCTCAGGTAGCAGCGACGTGGCATGCCTGTCCATAGACACATCGCAAAAGGTAATGATACTCGGCCAGTCAAAGGATCTCGGCATGTGTCGTGCGCAAAAAAAGAATGGTGACAAATGCACTTCGATTGTGAACCTTTCCGAGTGCGATTATTGTGTGTTCCATGTGAAGCAGGAGTATGGCAAGATGTCCAGGCGTTCGGAGCTACAGTCAGCTACGGCGGGGCGAGGCCTAAATGAGCTACGCAACAAGGTGTTGGGTAAGAAACTAATCAGCTTGTGTATTTGGCCAATCCAACACTAAAACCACTTATCCTTTCAGGCAAAAGCGAGGTATTTTATGGCGGCCAATCTTTCTCAGCAGTGCCGGCACGCAAAAGTGCCAAGCTGATTGGAAAAGAACGCGATCGTTTAAGCAAACTGGCCGGTTATGATGTCTCGCCCTTTGCCCACACAGCGAATCATGTTTCAAAACCTAAAATACATACACCCGATGCAGTTCCTTATGCATCTCGCACGGGTCCCACGTCTCGGGTGGCGGGCAATGTGGAGGCTTCAAGCAAACAGCGGCATCAAGATTTGGAACGGTTAAAAATACTGCGTGCTGAGAATGAGCGTTTTATGGAAGCAGTCAGCACTCAGAACACAACCAGTACACCAAGCAAGATAGAGGCTGAAAAGAACACTGGCGATATTCCCAGCACTCCCAGCACTCCAAGCGTAGCTGTGCCTGAAAAGTTTAAGAACCGTGGGTTCTCCTTTGATACCAGCCTTACACCGAAATTATCCGGCAGCGAGAATTTTAGCTTGGACTTTAATATTAGTGCACGACAGGCACAGAGTGCCAAACAAAAAGCGGCAGCCCTCCTCAAGAAAAAACCTCTGGCTAAGCTAAATCCCAACTCTACGCGCGGCTCGCAGGACGGCAAACGACGCGCCATCGATGAGCTGAATGACCAATTCAACAATAGCGCCAAGCGTCAAAAACTCGAGGAGGACGAACGTGAGCAAATGCGCAAGTCACGCATTGAACGCATCATGGCGGCCACATCGACGCATTCAAATTTGGTGGAAATGCGTGAGCAGGAAGCACAATCGGAGTACTTCCATAAGCTGGAACGCAAAGAGGCCATGGAGGAAAAAATGTTAGGCACATTTAAGATGCCTTGCAAGGCGGTCATTTGCCAGCGTTGCAAATACACGGCTTTCTCAGCTGCCGACCGTTGCAAGGAGGAGAAGCATCCGCTCAAGGTGGTAGATGCTCAGAAACGATTCTTTCAATGCAGGGACTGCGGCAATCGTACTACGACAGTCTTTAAGTTGCCCAAACAGAGCTGCAGCAGCTGTAAGGGTTCTCGCTGGGAACGCACCGCAATGATACGTGAGCGCAAGGTGCTCTCCGGACGGGAGTCGCTCTCAATACGCGGTGATGAGGAAACCTTTATGGGCAGCGTAGCAAGCAGTGCGAATTTAAACTTGCTAGTGCCAGAAGAGGAGTAGATCACAATTTTCATTGGGTGAGCCTTTTATAGTAATATATTTGCCTATAATTTCTTGTTTCACACCATCCCCTAAACACTAAGGCGGCCGACTTAAGTGTTGAAATCGATTGGAAAGACAAATTGATCAGAATGATCGTTGTTCCAAATTGTTCCAAATAACGAACCCGTTGTTGTTTAATATTAGGTTGTAAAAAATATTAAACGCAATAATAAAGTTCCACATTAGAAGTATATAAATATATATTTACAGTCGTAAACACGTACAAATGTATTGTTTTCGAAATTTAAAAAACGTGTCTTTTTTGTTTTTACATAATTATATAAGTACAAAGCCCATAAAAACTACAATTAGATTTAAATATATTGTTTTGACTAAATATGTATACGCCATTGTCTGTTGATTTAGTGCTGATTATATAGAATGCTTGACAAAATGAAGCGCGTTTTAATTAAGTGCACGTACTTGTATTTCAAAGAAATCAACAAAATTCGTTTGTTTTAATACTTTAGAAAAGTATTGCTTATGAGAAATATTCCAAAATTGGAAAACTCTTCAAAATATGCAAGCTCAATAGAAAGAAACGTTTTTATATAATTGGTCCAATAGAGCTAAAAGAAGCTCACAGTATTGTTTACAAATTTCTAAAAAATGCTGCATTCACGGACGATTTATTTCATATCGTTTCTAAATTAACAGACCCTAATCAAACCATTTTCGATATTTTTGGTATAGAACAACAAATTGGTCCAAAGAAAACTATATAAATTTTAACGAAAAATGATCGAACTGGAATGCTTAAACGAAATGTTCGAAATCTAAAGAGTCGTACATGAAAGCTTAAGCTAAATTAACTTGTCCTTTAATAGGTTTTAGGCTTATTGCGTTGAAGCATATGGCATGACAATTTTTGGTGTACGTTAAGTTGTAGCTTAGTGAAGTCTTAAGAATACTATGAATTTAAAAATAAATATTTATACGTCAGTGTAATTTACTTACAAATTAAATAGAATATTCACTTATTGCAAGTACAGAGTATTCGATTTAATTTTCTTCTTTTTGGCATCAACATATGTATTAAAAACATTAAAACTAAAACTAATTAACATACAATTTGAACTAAAAAACAGAACAGCAATCACAAACAGAATTAAGAACTAACGTACAGTTCTGGGAATGATGACAAGATTAAACGGCGTCCTCAGCCTGCCTCTGCTCGTGCGAATGTTCGGGCTCTTTGAGGTTTAATAGGCTGGAGAATCGAAATGAGATAGTTTTGGAAAGGTGCTTTTCAAAGTCTCTGTTATCCAGATTGTCTGGTATTAGTGTGTTGTTTGCCATGTCAAGATAAGACCGCCCGCGTTTAACGGGAACCGCATAATGGGGCAAGGCGGAACCGCTTGTCATGTTGCTATAACTAGGTGTACAGCTTGACTTTCGTATATTTAGCGGAAAGCGCAAATCGTTCTCATAGCGCAATATTTGCTCTGTGGTTTTTGCCTCGATAAGTGGACGTGGGAGATCGTAGCCAGGCGGTGGTTGAAACTCTGATCCAAAAGTGGTGGACTGTGTCCGGCTGTACGATAAATCGTGCGTATCGTATGTAATCTTTGGGGGGCACCACAGGTGATCCAGTGAGTCTGGTTCGCCCAGTTCTTGGCTATAGCCGTTTGGCATGAGAGCAGCCTCGTCGCCACAATAGACCGGATTCGAAACGGCATTGGTTTCCAGCTCAATGTATTTGGCATTGTTGCCCAAAAGTTTTTCAAACTCGGAAGCCAAGTATTTGAATGAGGGACGCGTATTTGGTTCATCTGTCCAGCAAGTTCGCACTATGGAGTATATTGCATCCGAACAGTTCTCTGGGCGTTCCATGCGGTAGCCCGTCTTCAGCAGATGATAGAGATTCTGCGGAGGTATGCCTGGATAGGGTGACGCGCCCAATGTGATTAGCTCCCAGCAGAGGACGCCAAAAGCCCAGACATCGGATTTGGTGGTGTACACATGATCAGCCAGCGACTCCGGTGCCATCCACTGAAAATACACATAACGATAAGGGAAGATTAGTTACAAGTAAAGTCCCCTTGGACACTCCAGACTCATTCTCTACCCCAATATGGGCTACAAACTTTATTTTTATAGCTGACTTCAAATGTAAAATGTTTCGGAAGCCGTATTAATAAAATAACAAGTGGAAATAGACATTTGCAGCTTACTTTGACTGGAACACGATCCCGCGATCGCTTCAAGTAGGCGTCATCCTCATAAACATCGCGCGTCAAACCAAAATCAGAAATCTTACAAATCTTTCCATCGGCCAGAAGGACATTACGCGCGGCCAGATCGCGGTGCACCAGCTGTAAAAAAAACTAGAATTAGTAAAGCATCCTTATTTGTTATCGCTAATGATGAACTAATGATTGATCGATTGTCACTGACCTTTATCTCAGTTAAATAGGCCATGCCTTTGCAAATTTGCCAGGCAAATGTGAGCATATCCTTTGCTGTAACTGGCTCGACCCCGTCCGTAAAGTCTACACCGGCGCACTCGATCTTGCGACTGAGGCGCAAGTAACTTCTCAGCGAACCATGACGCGCGTATTCAATTATAAGCAATGGAGTCTCCGTCTGCGTGCAAGCTCCCAATAGTTTGATCACATTTGGGTGCGAAACTTCCTGGAGCAGCTGAAACTCAGACAGCAGCGCCATATACTCCACTGAGTTGGCCCCTTTCTTTAACATCTTCACGGCCACTGTCGTCACTCCCGAGAGCCCGGCAATCTCTGTGGCATATCCTTTAACCACCTTGCCAAACTCGCCCTCGCCAAGCACGGTGTCCAGCTCAAGATGCGCGCGCGGGAATTCCCACTTGGTATCGTTGGACTCGAACTTGAAACCACCCTCTAGCGGCATCAATGGTAGATCGCCGTTTTTTGTGTCGCAGGCATCCGCATCGGGAGGCAGAACCTTCTTGGAGGCCGGCGTTTGTGACTGCTTTCCCAAACCGCGATGCAGCATATTGCGACGAGTGAAGAGTAAGCAAAGCACAAGAACCAAAAAGATTACAGGGCAACTGATGGCAATTAAGATACAGGACTTGTCACACTCGAACCCAGCCACAGTGACCACTGACAAGACATCGTTCTGTGGGTCAGCACTGAGGGTGGGTAAAAGGCTGCCGGCCAAGACGCCGTTCTCTAACTCCATATTCGTTTCGTTTTTGCGCTTTCGTGTACGTTTGAGTTTTTCCTCCGCCAATGGGGCACACGAGCATTTGCCATTGTCCTCGCATATGCACGTTCCAGAGCCAGAGAGTATGCCCCGCTTGTTTTCGTTGCTTGTATGCGGTCCCACAATGCGATCAGCGGGCGTGCAATCCTGCGGGCAGGCGTACGGGTTCAGTTGCTCCAAGGCATCGCAAACATGATCGGGGCAATAGCGTACATCCGGCACACAGGAGCCGTAGTTGCGGCCAAACATGGCCAAGCTAGAGCCACGCCAAGCACATCCTCCACCATTGGTGGCTAAGCCACAGAATTTTCCACACTGACTCTGATATTTCACCTGTGCACAGGTCTGAGTGCGGGATTTAATTTTTAGCTCACAGCTCGCATTCAGTGGACGGCCCTCCACCAAATGGATATTAATGACAAAGGCTCTCGTCTGCATGTCCTGCCATGTGACATTCAAAAAATAAACCGTCTCGGGTGCATGTTCAAGAGCCAATGGATCCTTTACATACACAATTCCTCCGACTGTGGTAATCCCAAAGGCACCACTCCGGTCCTCTTCAATGCCAAATTGCACGCTGCGCATCCGCAGCAAGTCGAGGAAGCTTTCGGGCTGTGCCACGCGATAGAACGCGGCAGCTGCTCTATGCACAAATACATCCTTCTCATAGTCGATACCAATGGGTTGCATGCCACCGCCCTCCGTATGCATCGTTTCCGAGACACTATCGAAGATTCTGCTTTGCTTGCGTGCCCGTAGGGCCAAGGCAACGGGCAACTGATCCGCCTCGTGAACCTTCTCCACGTCCACATGCAGGCATATATAAGCTGTAGCTTTATTTGTGGCATTCGCACGTCTATCGATTGTCTTGTCGCTGGCCTCCAGGGTAAAGCAGTAGGGGGTTTCCCGCAATATACCGTTTCGGGAAAATCTTAGTTCTGCGTGCGAGATTGGATAAGGGAAGACCTCATCATTAATGATTACATGCCATAAATTAAGTTAAGGTTCTACTCGGGAGATAACTATATATTTTCTACTTACGGCAACTTACGATGGTATGCGGGCGTCCAGTATGATCAGCTTCATAGGCGCTACAGTCTGGCTGAACCAGTCCCTTGCTATCGTTGTAAATGGCATAAGTCAAGTGGCCATTGGCCACCATGGTGTCTTTGTCCAAATATATGATTTTCTCACCAACTGCCTCGTGCTGTGTGGGTGTTAAGATGGAAGAATTTTCATTACAATTTCATCGTCATTAACTGACCAATGTTAATTAAATGTGCATTAGCCCCCCTGCCCCTGAGGAGCTCTCATCCCACATGTTAAACAATTTCAGACGAAACTGCAGCAGTCCATATGGTCTCTGAGGACCTGTGCTTGGTCATTAGCATTTCAATTATAGACAAGGTCAGGCAGGGCTTAAAGGCACGGCAAACCACAACCAACACCTTAGGGAGTGTGCTCCCATTTTCGCAGTTGTTGTTGCTGCTGCTATTTAGTTACCGGATCTGTTTATATGAGTCCCAGGTGGACGAAGACTTCAACAAGTTTTACAACATGCTCCATAAAACTTGACTCTTGGTCGGCCTTGGATTGGGCTTAAATTTACATGGGAAGAATTTGAATCCTGCAAATGGTTCAGGTGCAGTCAAAGTACAAGTATGCTAAATATATAGACTTGTAGTGTTATGAGAAAGCCCTTGCTTTTAAATGTCCGTAAGGTTACCCGTTACAGGTAAGAAGTTTCTTTCAAAGCTTTCCGGATTGGTCAACATGTTTCGTTGCCACTCATTGTGATCTATGCCGGGGAGTCAAATTTTAATTGTTGTGTCAACTCAAAAGGTGAGCGACCCTTGTACTACACACCCTTCTAATTATTGTGGCATACCTACATAATAGCACACACTTATTTGTGTAGCATCTACCGACATTAATTTGAATGTGTGTACATACTAGCACTATTTGAATAAGAATCGTTACAATTTGTTAATACGGAGTTTTAGTGCCTTTTAATTCTAACGGGCAACAGACTAATTACTTACTTCAAGCAACTAAACTGAAAACATTCTCCCCAAAGTCATTACAGCTAAGTGACACAATTTTTGCAGCTGTTCCCTATCCTTTGGGATAGGCTTGGTGGTCGTTGCGACCCAAACATGACAACATAATTTGAGTCACAGTCAAAATTAAAGTTATCCGGGAAACAACTTTAAGAGTCAGTCCTTAAGACTCCCATGCCAGTCCAGGCTCAAATCATAAAAGTCCATAAGCGTTACGCGTTTTTAATGACAGCATACGCAAAGTCTATCTATTAGTGTTGGACCCAACCCCGTACCCCATCTATGCCACACTTTTCATGGCCGACTTTGTAATGGCCAAATAATGGCTCTAGACGACGCGACGAGGGTGCTCGCCGCTTTGTTAAGGTAACTCACAGCCGTCCGCGACTTGATTGCGTGTTGTCCTTGCGTTTATCATGGACACATTCAATAAACGAAACTGGATTCGGCGACGCACCCAGTTTCCTTGTCAGACAGCCAGTAGACGATTGTCTGCAACCAGTCAAGTGGTGGTGGCTCAAAAATACATATTATAGACTGCCTGGCGGCATTTCCGGCTAAGACGTGTGCTGGGAAAGTCTCAACGAAGCTACTTTTGTAGTCTTTAAATTACTTTTCAAATAGAAAAATATTGCTAATATGCTAGATAGATAGTTCCAGTAGAAACTGGTTTGTTTTTAGTTAAACTGCAAGCTGAGGGCTTCTTACTACAAGGATTTGAATCACAACTATAATTGATGAAGAACTGGCAGAGACTAGATTTCTTATGCTTCTCTCCCTCTCTCTAGATTTCCAAATTTGGCAATTGTATATGTATATAAGTTTTCCCTGGTTCTACTGATTGATTAAAGGTATTAAATTAAATTAAAATTAAATTATTATTTCCAAGAAAAGGTTCAACAGCTTTAGTAGTTTTGTAAACTTCAATTAGCCAAAAACAAAGCTAAAGTCGGATAAATATACATATGTATATATTTAAAAAATTAAAAATAAATCGAATAATGAAATAAATTTGCACAGCACACATACTCATATAAAGCATCTGTGTGCAAAATTTGGTTCTCTGGTCAAACAGACAGACGGACAGATAGACAGATAGGGCTAGATCGGCTCGCCTTGTTGTGCTCATCAAGAATATATCTACTTCGTGGGGTCTGCTACGTCTCCTTTTGCCTGTTATATTTTTCACTGTGTGCAGAATTAATATTCTCTTGTACCTTTCAGGTATTTCTATTTCAACAAATTTGTAATAATGTGTTTAAACGTATTTAATTTTCAATCTTTTAATTAAAATATTATAAGAAAATAAATGTATCAAAAAGCCGCTTTAAGGCATTGTCAATTATGAAAGATGGTCTCGTTGACTTTGAATCTCAGTGAATGGATAGTGTTTTCTTAGGCTTCAATGGTAAATATTGAGTTTGGAAAATGCTATGTTCTTGTTTGTGTTTCATATTCAACAATTACTTAATTTAAGCCATGTATATGGGAAATGGGTTGACATTTTGGAAAATTATACGACATTTAGCTTTATTGATAATTATTTATTATTGTTACATTTTGGTTATACTAAAAAGCTTGTCAGATTGAACTACAAGTACTTCCATACACAGCTTCGGTCGACGCTAGATTTTTGTATATGTTGTTTAAAATGTTGATTTCGGCACTTTAATTGAAACACTTAAAGTTCATTTGTATGTATGCAGGGGCGTGCGCAGGGGGGTCCAAAAGAATAAATTTCGCAATATGAAGTCCACCACAAATTCATTATGATGGCGCACCCTTTCGTCTTAAAATGGAACTAAGTTGGACTTGAAGTTTTTTTTTATTGATCATATGTATTCATTATTATTTGAACGTATCGTCCAATTTTTCATCAACATTTTCATTAAAGTTAGACAATAGAGAACTGAAGCCATATACAAAGTTAATTTACATAAAATATTTACATATATAGACACCGAATTAAAAGAGATTGTTTGTCATAAATTTAAGTTGCAGTTCAATTGTATTTTGACAAAATTCATTCTCAGGCTTATCCGTCCAGGTTTATATCACGGTACTAAGCTTTATATGTTTAGGTAGGTTTAGGCTCAGCTGCCCCTAAGTCATACTTGTATATCCTAATGTTATCATGTATTCGTTATGGTGATATAACTGTAGAAGTAGAAGTGACTAAAAGGGACAGACGGAAGGAAATGTGAGTATCGCTGTTCGAACATCGGATTCGGCTAGTCATGCCTATCATATACCAGTCATTCTTTGTTTTAGGTGTTGCACACCCATTTCAAGGCAGGGAATAAAAAGCAGTTGCCTTTTCCCTCTGCTTACCTCTTTAAAGTAGGGCTGGTCCAAATAAAAATTGAGTTGCGCGCCCTTCTCCTGTAGTTGCGGCCCATTATCGTTTCGATCGAGGAGTGTTACATTATAGGTGCGCACAAATTCGCGTTGTTCTTGGGTCGAGAGTCGTACTTTGCAGCTGATGCGGGTCTGCAGTTGTCCGCCGTGCGCAAATATGCCATTGAACTCATCATGATCCAGCGGCTGTTTGGTGTAGAGAAGGTTCTGCTTCAGCGCAAAGTAGGAGCTGCCCGTGGTCAATGCGTATTTGACCTCCATGTGGGGGCACAAGTATTTGGCCGCTCTCGAGTTCAAGGCGCCTATAAGCACCGGCTGAAAGGGCATTCCATTGACCCGATCAGATTCGGCTATAGTGTAATGTGCACTACTCCAAAAGCAAATGTGCTCCAATTCTGCACAATAATCGGGAAGCGATTGAGGTTCCAATTCCAAGGTCAGGTGCGCCACCTGCATTAGCTCGCCATCTGTATCTTGGTTGCGTGGAAAGGCAGTAATCACGTATTTGGCGCTTTGATTAAGCGGCTTATAGTCCGTGCGCATGTAAACCTCTCCGGAGCTGCCGTTGATACGCAGCAACTGATTCTCTTCCAAGCTGTATATGTAGTCCTTGGCCACCGCATTGTCGGCGACGGTCAGCACGTGAACGCATGCCAGAGGGATCTTTGAGAAAATGCTTTCCGATTCCTCGTTCAGCGGTAACTTGAATTTTACCGAAGTAGTCGGAAAGTAAACATCAAAGGCTGCCGGGAGAAAAGGTTTATAAAATTTAGCATTACTCTAAACGTCAATTAAGTGGAAATCAAACAAGCACACCTCTACAAGTATCTACAATTGTTATAGAGGTGTATGTAGGTATACATATATATTTATGCATACAAATATAGCATATATATCTTACTAATCTAACATAGTTAATAGTAAGCCAAGACCCTAGGCCTGAACATATGGTTCTTAATAAAAGCTATGCCCGTCTTTATGAGTGCACGGATTTCAGGATTTATAGGAGTTTGAATAAGTTAAGTACATAACCATATATACATTATATGATTTGTTTTATTTATATATGTATATCTATATTATTATAAAGAAGAAAGATTTTATTGTTATACCCTGTACCCAAAGGGTACAAGGGTATATTAGTTTTGTGCGAGTGCACATGGAACACACAGAAGGAGGCTTGGTAGACCCCACAAAGTATATATATTCTTGATCAGCATGACAAGCCGAGTCGATATAGCCATGTCCGTCTGTCCGTCTGTCCGTCTGTCTGTCCGTCTGTCCGTCTGTCTGTCTGTATGAACGCAAGGATCTCCGAAAGTATAAGAGCTAGAATAACCAAACTTGGTATACAGATTCTCCTGAGACCGAGAAAGGACGAGTTTGTTAATTTTTTCTGATCTGCCCCCCCACTCCCCCCCTATTACTGATTTTCTATAACTCCCGTAATTCTTGGAATTTTGAGCTAAAATTTGGTAGTCACATTAGGTTAGTGATTATATATCCGTATACCAACTTTCATTATGATAAAATGATCGGAAAGAAAGTTATAGCCATATAACCAGGCCCAATGCACACATACATACATATGTACAAGTACACAAACACGCATAAGGCACGATTCTGATGTAAATGTAAATGTATGTATGCATGCATGGAATATTTTATATTTAATTAGTTAATATTTAGTTAATTAATTAAATTAATTTAGTTAATTAATTTAATTAAATTAATTAATTAATTAAATTACTTTTTTATGGGGTGGTACAGGGTATTTAAGAGTTGAGCCTGCTCGACTTTAGCATTCCTTTCTTGTTTTTTTTTTTGTTTATTTGTATAATTAAATAGGCTCCGAAACTACTGGACCGATTTAAAGGATTCTTTCACTGTTGGGAAGTTACGCTATCCCCGGTTAACATAGGCTATGTTATATTTGCAAAAAAGATAGAGATCCTTATGAAAACGCCAATAATGTAGACCAAGGTGTAAACAAATTACCTAAAAAATATCGTGAACAGGATGCTGTTAGTTCAGAATCATTCTCGAAAAATTATATCATTTTAAATATTAATGCAATATTATTTAAAAGTCCCCAGCCAAATAAAAAATTAACAAGTAAAAAAGCTAAAGTCGGGTGTCCCGACTTTGAAATACTCTGTACATATGTTTACAATAATTATAGAAAATAAAAAAATTAAGAAAATAAAAAAAAAAATTGATCGATTTTACCTCTCTCGGTATTCGAACTCACGTAAAGGGTGTATAATTGCACATTTACATAGCAATTGCGTCTGTGTGAGTGTATGTATGCCTATGCGCATCTATTCGTGTCTGTGTAAGCATTTTCGCAGTCAACCAAACAGCAACATCAACAACAGCCGCGGGCAGCGCTTGAGCAGCGCTGCAGCAGCGCTGCATCAGCAAATATATTTATGGCTATAACTTCTTGTTAAATCGGTCTATCATAATGAAATTTGACATACGGACACATAATAACCAACTGGGGGTATTTCCAAAATTTTAGTTCGAAATTCCAAGAATTACGGGAGTTACGATTTGCGGGGTAGAGGGGGGAGGGAGGGGAATTCCAAAATATACATTTTCTGCGTATTCACATAAGGCATCTGGGACTAAAATTTGGTGTTCCTAGGTCTTATAGTCTCCGAGATATAGGCGATTATACGAATGGAAAATCGGGAAAACCCCCATAGGGGGGAAGTGGGGGGGAAAATCAAAAAAATAAAACAAACTCGTATAGAATACACACATAACGCATCTTTGTGCAAAATTTGGTGTCTCTATCTCTTATAGTCTCTGAGATCCAGGTGTTCATACGGACGGACAGACGGACAGACAGACAGACAGGGCTAGATCGACTCGTCTCGTCATGCTGATCAAGAATATATATACTTTGTGGGGTCTGCCACGCCTCCTTCTGCCTGTTACATTTTTCAGCTCCCACAAACCTAATATACTCTTGTACATTTCATGTACAGAGTATAAAAATCCATCGACACTGTGACTACACAGGAATTTTTAAATTCACTTAGCTCTTCTGGACTATCGCCACATGAATTGAAGTTATCAATCGGAATTTCAATCCTGCTTCTGAGAAATTAAAGCCCTCCGAGCATGTGCAATGGGACAAGGCTGCTTGTTAAGGAATTGCAGGACAATTTAAGTGTAGCAACCATTATCAACTGATCCCAGTTAATCCCATTTAAACGGCGTCAATTTCTGGTAAAAATATCTTTCGTGTTGACTTTTAACAAGTCCCAAGGCCTGCGAATTAGTAGGGATCGACCTACGAAAGGAATGTTTTACTCATGGCTAACTGAGAAGCTCCGACTCAATATTTGAAATACTCTGTACAAATGTGTAGAGTAATTATGCGTGTATGTGTGTGTTTGTGTGTGCCTGAGCAAAGCAGTAACAACAACAACATCTGCGGGCACTATTTGGCCTTATGTACATATATGGCTATAACTTCCTGTTAAAAGAAAATTGGCATTTGGACTTATAATAACTAAATGGAGGTATTTGCCAAGTTTGAGTTCGAAATTGCAAGAATTACGGGAGTTACGATTTGCGGTGGAGACGGGGAGGGAGGGAAATTCCAAAATATACATTTTCTGCGTATTCACATAAGGCATCTGGGACTAAAATTTGGTGTTCCTAGGTCTTATAGTCTCCGAGATATAGGCGATTATACGAATGGAAAATCGTGAAACCCCCATAGGGGGTAAGTGGTGGGGAAAATCAAAAAAATTAAACAAACTTGCACAGCGTACACACATAAGGCATCTTTGTGCAAAATTTGGTGTCTCTAGCTCTTATAGTCTCTGAGATCCAGGTGTTCATACGGATAGACGGACAGACAGACAGAGCTAGATCGACTCGTCTCGTCATGCTGATCAAGAATATATATACTTTGTGGGGTCTGCCACGCCTCCTTCTGCCTGTTACATTTTCAGCTCCCGCAAACCTAATATACTCTTGTACATTTTATGTACAGAGTATAATAACAAGAAATCTAAAAAAGAACAAAAAATTCATTGCAAATTTTTAGTAACTCTTAGCAAAAAGAAGGGTGTGTGTTATATAATTTGTAATTTTGAAATTTGTTTATAACACCCGTGCGAAGCAGGGGCGGCGTTAGGTTTAACTTTTTATTTATGGCACGTCAGGACATCCTAGGGCTTAGCCCATCGTACTTTGGTCTGATTGGGTCAACAAACTGCTGGAGATTTACGAGTCTGCGGCATGTACTTGTGGCGGCCACAAGTGGTTGACACAATGGCACACACACTTGAAGGATATTCTTGTGGATTTACGGACATGGAGACACTGATTGCACAATAGAATGTGGGTGAAGGGTCAATTAGTTGACGCACCACATTAAAGAGCTATTTTGGCCCGGCAGGCAGCACCCCCTGCGCATTTTATTTGTTTGTCTTTTTGGGGTGGCAGGATTTGTTTATACGAGTATTCTATGCTGGACTCATCATAATTATCATTTCATACAATTAGTTTAATAAGTCCGCTCTGACCCCAATAGCACGGGCTTATGCGGTGCGAGTCCCACTCCCCTTCCCGAATCAATTCATTCGCAAAGCCAACCCAACACGGACTATGAGTAATTTGATAAGAAATCGATGGGGCTGCGCTGTGCTAATAACGCTCATTGCTGGCCTTTTGTTGCTGGGTCGGGCAACGACGAACACCCAGATATGGACACATATTCATCGCAAGCGATATGTAAATATAATATAGAAATTTACGAGCATGCATTTGATATTAGCATATACAAGTATTTGCGTTATCAAGTGGCCCCCGCCCCCCTAATAAAGTGTGGGCGGCATCATTATGTATCGATTTACTGATAAGCAGACCCTGCCTGAAAAATAAAACAAAACTCACGACTTATTGCTAACAATAGTTCAGCACTACGCACAACTTTATGCTATGGAAATTTTATGGTAAAAAGTTGAGGGCTGATAAAGGATAAGGGGTTATTACCGATGCGTTCTTCAGTGAATCGGAAATAGGTTAAAAGAAGATGTGGGTGAAATACTTTATATTTTCATATTCCGAGCTAAATTATTTGGTTTGCTGGGACTCAGCCTAACACATCATATTTGCAATCCAGCCAGCAATCTCCTAATTAACACCAAAATATAATCAGAGACGTTTAAAGACCTAACAAATGAAACCCAAACAAAACGACTTGAAGAGCAGTAAATAAAAGAGCAAAACTTAATAGCTTTGTTGTGCTTTGCAATTCAAGAAAATGTTTAGGCAAGATAACTCTGCCTAATCCTGCACACCTAATATAAATAATGCGTGGGGTTTTCTTTATAGTATTTTGCGCGATGATTCGTCATAGTAGTTTGTTCAAAGCAATAACATGAATCATAAGGTTGAGTTCCCAAACTGTTGGTGCAAAGGTTAGGAGAGGTGTGAGGAGTGATTCGTAGGGAGTGAAGTAAGTTTACTCTTGATCTAGACGAGATAAATCGATCTAGCCATGTACATCCATCGTTCTCTCTTCGACTACGCAGATAGCTGAACCGACAGAGACCACTCTTGGTATGAGGGCTCTCCGAGTCCATAAAAAACAACATTTTATGCCAGTCCCTCCAAACTTTCAACAGCTTCTTCTTCTTTTTGCCTCTTTTTTTATTTTAGATACGAGATATTTCTTGATGATTTGATTATATCAGGTCAAGTAATGACACGTTAA